ACACCGCGTGGCATCGTGTGGCGTCGTGTGGTCCCCCGTGCCCGGCTGCAACCCGTGTGTCCCCAGCCCTGACCCTGCGCATCCCCGTCCCGTGTCCCCCCCCTCCCCCAGGTCACCCTGAGCATCTTCGAGCTGGCCTCGGCCGCGGGGATCCCCTGCGAGGTCGACCCCGCGCTGGTCAACGTCCTCGCTGGCAGCAAGACGGGTACCCTGGGGGGTCTGCTGGGGTCACAGGGGGCTGTCCCTGAGATCTGTGACCCTGCCGCGGACCCCCAGCCTTCCCTCACCTTCTCCCACCCCGTGCCACCTCCCTGGGACCCCCGGGGTCCCCTCTTGGACCCCTGTTTAGTGTCACCTCCCTCCCTGGTAGATGGCTCGTCCCCGGAGGAGGACTACAAGGTGGCCTGCCTGCTTCTGGTCTTCGTGGCCGTGTCCCTGCCCCTGCTGGCCTCCGACCCGGCGTCCGTCTACAACACCGAGGTGGACGGTGAGGCTTGGCCACGACCCTGGCAGCTTTGTCCCCTTGTCACCAATCCTGGCTGCGTCCCCGTCACCCCGACCCCCCAGTTCCCCAGTTGTCACACCTTGTGTAGGCTGGGATCCCCGAGGTCAGCGGTGCCCCGCGGCCACAGCTGAGGGTGGTGGGTGGGGACAACGGGACCCCGGGACTGGCAGGGCTGGTGCCCCATAACTGCAGGCAAGGGAGGTGGGCGCGGTGGGGACCCTTGCGCTGTCCCCGACCTTCCTGTGTCCCCCAACCCACCTGCGCCCCCGTCCCCAGGCTACAACAACAACATCCACTGCCTGGCCAAAGCCATCATCCACGTGTCGGCCGCCCTCTTCACCGTCCACAACAAGAACATCGAGACCCACCTCAAGGAGTTCCTGCTGGTGAGAGCGGCCGGGGGGCCACGGCTGTGCCTGGCCGGGGGTGGGCACCCTCGGGGTGGGCACCCTCGGGGTGGGCACCCTCCCAGGGTGGGCACAGTCCCCAGTGCTGATCCGGGTCGGTCCCCTCAGCTGGCCTCCGTCAGCCTCCTGCAGCTGGGCCAGGAGACGGACAAGCTGCGTGCCAGGAACCGCGACTCCATCTCCCTGCTCATGCAGCTGGTGAGTGATGGGAGGGTCCCCGGGGTGCTGCTGGGTGGGCTGTGGGGTTGCTCCTGAGTGGGCACATCCCAGTTCCGTGTTTCTCCTGGGCTCCAGCTCTGTCTGGGTTGCTCCGGTCCCCAGCCCGCAGCCGGCTCGGGGTGTTCAGCCCTTGCCCACCTCTGGTTGGGCCGGGGGTTGGGGGGGCTCGAGCCATCTCCGACATCCCCAGGGAGGGGCTGGGCTGACCCGGTGGGGGGCCACGCACCCCCCCCTTCCCCCGGGGATTGGTATTCAGGGAGCTGCTATTCCTCCTTGCAAAGCAATTTAAATGCAAATATTTCAATCAGGAGCTGGGGCAGGGGGAGCCAGCCGGGGAAGGGAGCACCCGGCGCTGCTGGGGAGGGACTGGGGGCCGGCTCCCCGCTCTGGCAAAGGGGGAAACTGAGGCGGGGGGGGGGCCGGGGGATGCTGCTGATGCCGCCTGGGTCTCCTCTCTCAGATCGTGGCGGAGTCGTCCTTCCTGACCGTGGACATGCTGGAGACCTGCTTCCCCTACGTCCTGCTCCGCAACGCCTACCGCGAGGTGTGCCGGGAAAATCTGCTCAGCAGGGTCCCCTCGCACTGAGCCCGGCCCCCGCGTCGCCCCCCTCCCCTCAAACCCCTCCAAACGACCCCCCCCTCCCTCCCTGCCACGACCCCCGAGTCCTCCCCCCAGCCCCTGGATGCCACCACAGTCTCCCCAACCCTCCCCATCCTGTCCCCCAGCCATCGCCACCTCCACTAAATCACTTTTTCCATCCCCCCCCCCCCCCCCAAATCTGCGTCTAACCCATGGCTTGGGGGGGGGACACCCGGGGAATATTTGGGGCTGGCTCTGCCCCCCCCCCCCCAGCACTCCAGGGTGGGTGCTGAGCCCTGAGTCCCCAGCAGAAATAACCTCCTGTGGGTCCCCCATGGGCATTTGGGAGGGTCTGGGGGTGTCACGGGCCTTGGGGGGGGGGGGGGGCCGGGACATGAGGGGACTGGAGCTGCCGGCAGGATTTACCAGCTTTAATTAAAGCTGCTGCTCCTCGAGGCAATGATCCTGGCCAGCCTCGTGCCTCAGTTTCCCTTCACACTGCCTGGCCGGGGATGTTTCAAGTCACGTTTCCCCCCTCCCCAGCTCCCCCCCTTTCCCCCCCCCCCCCCCCCCCGTCTCAGGGTGTTTATTTTCCTCCCGTGCAGCATCTTGGGGGGGAAAATTAATGGGGCGAGGGAAGGAGGCGGCAGGGCGGCCGTTGCCATTCCGCTCACGGCCGGCTGCTCCGGGATGAGTCACTGGCCGTACTGGGAAGCCGGGGGGGGGGGACGGGGACGGTGGCTGCCGTGGCCGTGAGCCCCCTCGGCAGACCCCCCCCTTCGGCAGAGCCCCCCCTCGGCCTGCCCCGCTCCCCCCAGGACTGGGGGAAGCCAAGCGTGCGGCCCCGGCAGCCAACCTGAACCGCAACGATCGAGTGGCCGAGCCTGAGCGTGCGGCTGCCTCGTCCGGCACTAATTACTTTATTAAAATTACTTTATTAATTCAACCGGATGGGGCGGGGGGGGGGGGGGGGGGGGGGGAAATAGCGCTGGAGTGGGCTAGGCTCCCCCGCTATCCCCCTCCGGCTGTGCTCCCCGGGGGGGGGGGGGGGGGGGGGGGGCTGAACTCCCCCGAATTAACGCCCAGAACCTGCTGATTATTCCAGATTGCTGCAAAAGTCTATTTTCGCGCTCATCAATCATGATATTAAGTGGTAACGAGCTGCCGAGGCTCCCCGCCGGCAGCGCGGCTTTGTCTCGCGCGCATCCCTCTGCCCACGGCCTCTCCCACGCCCGTGCCCCCCCCCCCCCCCCCCCCCCCAGCCTCGGGCTGCTCCCCACCGATGTGGGGTCCCCCCACTTTGTTCAAGTCCTCAGCTCTGAGCGCCACCCCCTCCCCACCCCAAAAAGTTTAGGGACCCCGAAATGGCCCCGGCGGGGTATGGGAGCTGCCACGCCGCGGGCGGGGGCCGGCAGCCCACCCTGCTGCCCCCGGTGTGTGTGGGTGGGGGACCCATGGGTGCCCCCCCCGCACCCGCGGGACGCCCCGTCGAAGCAGGGAACCCCCCCCTGGGAGGGGGGCCGCAGCCCACTCTTTCGGAGACTAAACGGATGCATCCCCCGGGTAGCACCCATGGGTGCTAGCTGGCAAAGGCCGGGAGGTGACGTGACCTGGCAAACGGGGACCTGGCTGAGCTACTGGGGACAGTGTGGGGGCCAAGGTGGGGGGCTCGGGGATGGTACCTGGGGGGGGGGGGGGGGGGGGGGCCCCACCTGGCCCCCCTGGTGCCGGTGCTGCGGTGGTGGGTGCTGCGCACACCTACGGCGTTACATAAGGGCTTATTAATATTCCCCGGGGGCTGCGGCTCAGCACATGCCGAGGGAGGCAGCGTGGGGGCTGCTGTACCCCCCCCCCCCCCCCCCCCCAGCTCACCGAGACCCACCTGGGGCTCTGGCACCCCGATATCTCCCCAGCGCGTGCTCCTGGAGCCCCCCGGGTCCTCAGGAACGGCTCCTGCACCCCGAGGTTTCCCAGTGGGACCCGCGGGGGGGGGGGGAGGGTGGGGGGGCACAGGGTGGGGGCCAAGCTGCGTGTGGGGCAGGGGGTGCAGGGGGCCGTGGGGCAGGAGTGGGGTGTCCACGGGCCCGTGGGTTGGGGTTCCCTCGAGCTCAGGCTGCTCTCAACCCCCCCCCCTCCCGCACTCCCCCAGCCCAGGGGGGCAATGCCCTAATAGGTGAGAGGCCCAGCACCAGCCCCCCCCGCCGCCCCCCAAGTTTGGGTAGGTCCTACAATAAGTCGGGGGTTGCCGCTGCCCTGCAGCCGGTGGGAGGACTCGGTCCCTGGTGTCCGTGTCACCCGCCTCGGTGACGTGTGACAAACGGGGCAGGGCTGGGGGGGGCGTGGGGGGGTCACCCCAACCCGCTGCACGGAGCAGACCCCCGAGAGGGGGCACCGGGCCGGGGGCTCTGGCTGCCAAACCCAGTGACACCCCCTGTAACCTCAGGGGGGTCCTGGGGCACCCAACCCCCCCCCCCCCCATAACCCCATGAGGTCTTGGGGTACCCCCAGGGGTGCTAGGGTACAACTCCCATAGCCCCATAAGGGTCCTGGGGTACCCCCCATGGGGGTCCTGGGGTACATCCCCTATAGCCCCATAGGGTGCTGGGGTACCCCCCATAGAGGTCCTGGGGTACAACCCTTATAGCCCCATAAGGGTCCTGGGGTGCCCCCCAATAGGGGTCTTGGGGTACCCCCCACAGGAGTGCTGGGGTACATCCCCTATAGCCCCATGGGGGTGCTGGGGTACAACCCCTGCACCCCCATAGGGGTCTTGGGGTACAGCCCCTATAGCCCCATAAGGGTCCTGGGGTACCCCCCCATAGGGGTCCTGGGGTACAACCCCTACAGCCCCATGAGGTTCCTGGGGTTCCCCCCTAATAGGGGTGCTGGGGTACAGCCCCTATAGTCCCATAAGGGTCCTAGGGTACCCCCCAATAGGGGTCCTGGGGTACCCCCCCATAGGGGTGCTGGGGTACAACCCCTGTGCCCCCATAGGGGTTTTGGGGTACAGCCCCTAAAGCCCCATAAGGGTCTTTGGGTACCCCCCATAGGGGTCTTGGGGTAAAGCCCCATAAGGGTCTTTGGGTACCCCCCATAGGGGTTTTGGGGTACAGCCCCTATAGCCCCATAGGGGTCCCGGGGGACCTTACGGAGGTCCTGGACACCCCCGTCTCCATGGGGGGTCCCGGGGCATCTTCTTCCCCACCCCCCCACCCCCCCCCCAGCCCCGTGGGTGTCCCGGAGCTCCCGCCCCCCCCCCCCCGGGCCGGGGCTGAGCGGGGCGGCGGGGCTGGGCGGCCCCGGTTCCCGGCCCCCGCCCCCGGTTCCCCCCGCCCCTCCCCGCCCTCCCGCCGGTGCCGGCTCGGGGAAAGTTGCGGCGAGCCCCGGTCGGCGGAGGCAGAGCCGGCAGCAGCGGGAGGACCGGGGCACGGCGGCACCGGAGCACGGCAGGACCGGCGGCACCGGAGCACGGCAGGACCGGCGGCACCGGAGCACGGCAGGACCGGCGCTTCCCGGTCGAGCATCCCCGGGTAGGAGCGCGCAAGCATCCCCGGTCCCTCCCGCCGTACGCCCGTGCTCCCCACCCCCGGTGCTCCCCATCCCCGGTGCTCCCCATCCCCGGTGCTCCCCATCCCCGGTGCTCCCCATCCTCGGTGCTCCCCACCCCCGGTGCCCCATCCCCGGTGCTCCCCATCCCCGGTGCTCCCCATCCCCGGTGCTCCCCATCCCCGGTGCCCGGGATGCCATCTTAGCTCCGCCGCCCGGGCCGGTGCTGCCTGCGCAGCCGCCGGGTACCGGGCGGCGGAGGGGAGGGGAGCTGGGGTTGGGGGGGGGGGGGGGGGGGAGGCCGCTGCCGGGGCTTACGGGGCGGTACCGGCGGCTGCTCGGTGACGGCCCGCCGGGCCCCGGGACCGGCCGCGGGGCTGAGGGCGCGTCCCGTGTGTGTGTCCCCCCCCCCCCCCCCGTGTCCCCCCCCCAGCCGCCGCAGGGGCCATGGAGCCGCCGCGGAGCCTCCCGGGGCTGGAGCCCGACCGTGAGGGGCTGGACCCGGCCGGCGGCTGCCCGTCCCCGCTGGAGATCAAATCCACCCCCAGCAAGAAGATTTGGGTCAAGCTCCGGGCGCTGTGAGTGACCCCCCCACCCCCCGCCCCCCCCCAACACCCTAAACCGGGATCCACCCCCCACATCCCCCCCCCCCCCCCCAAACTGGGACCACTCCACCTCCAAACCGGGACCCCCCAAACCTGAGCATCACACCCCAACAAACCCCTTTTTTGGGGACACCCCCCCCCCCTTCCTTCATCCTATAAGACACCCCCCCCCCCCCCCCCGGTGCTCTCCACCCTGTGTCCCCCCCCCACTCCAGGCAGGGCCCCCTGGGACATTCAGCTGCCCCCAGGGTCCCCCCCCCCCCCCGAACCCTCTGCCCCTGGGGTCCCCCTAGGGGCCCCCCCCCATCTCATCCATGCGCTGCCCCCCACATTCCCCCCCCCCCCCCAGCCACCCTCAGGACCCCCCCGCACCCATTGCACCCCCTTAGTGCGGGTGCCCCATGACCCCCCTCAGGCTGAGGGCACCCGTAAACCCAGCTGGGGCAGCTCTGGGGGTGCTGGGGGGGTCCCCACCAGCCCCCACCACCCCTCACCCCAGGTGGCACTGAGGGGGGTACCCCCAACTCTTGGGGGGCGGGGCAGAGCGGGTGCCAGCATGTCCAGCCGGCCCTGGGGATGGGGGGTGCCACCCTCTGATACCCCCAGGGTGCCACCCCACACTGGGGGGGGGGGTGGTGGGGTGGGTGTGGGGTGCTCTGGGTGAATCCCCAGGGTGCCCCCCCCCCCCCCCGCCTTCCTTTCCCACGCCTGCGTGGGCTCCGGTGGGCCCGTGCCCCCTCGCGACCCCACGGCACGTGCGGGTCCTCGTGCGGCGTGGGCGTGCAAGGGGTGCGGGTGTGCGCACGTGCACGGGGGCTCACCCGCACGCGGCGGCTGGTGCAAGGGTGCAGGGGTGCATGTTGGTGCAAGGGTGCACGTTGGTGCAAGGGTGCACGCCGGTGCAGGGGTGCACGCCAGTGCAAGGGTGCACGCCGGTGCAAGGGTGCACGTTGGTGCAAGGGTGCACGCCGGTGCAAGGGTGCACACCGGTGCAGGGGTGCACGTTGGTGCAGGGGTGCACGCCGGTGCAAGGGTGCACGTTGGTGCAAGGGTACATGCTTGTGCACGCAGCACCGGTGTGTCACCGCCCTTGTCACCTCACGGGGACGAGGACAGGAGCCGGGTGCCCGTGTCGCACGCCCACCCGCGAGCCGAGCGTGTTTCGCACCGGCCCGAAACTCAGCTGGGGGGTGAAATGGTGGTGCAAGGGTCGGAGGGGGGGACGACACACACACACACACACGTGCAAACCTGAGTGTGCAACCGGCCGCTCACCTTGCCGCGGGTGGGAGCGTGCACGCGTGTGTGCGCAGGCACGTGCCCCCCCCCCCCCCACTCTCCCCACCCTGGGGTGCCCACGCGTGTGCACCCATGGGGGCTGGTGAGCGTGCTTGGGGGGGTGTGTGTGTGTGTGTGCGGGTGCACACACAGTTGTGCGAGCGTGGGGGCTGCGCCGCGCTCCCGCTCCCCCCAAAATCACTGGCGGCCGCTCCCGCAGTGTAGGGGGTGGGGTGCAGGGGGCTGGGGGGGTTTGGGGGTGGGGGGGTGCGTGTCCTCACCAGCACCCAGGGGACAGCGGGGCCCCCAGCTCCCAACTGGGGTGGTGGAGGGAGGGGGGGAGCAGTGAGGTGGCTCTGGGGTGCAGGATTCTGGCCCCCCCCACCCCCCCCCCCTTCCAGCCCCCCAAGTGTTGGGGACCGATGGCAGGTCCCTGGGGGGGGGTGGGATCATCCGGGATGGGGGGACCCTGTGGGAGGGAGCTGGAGGGACAACAGCAGCCATGGGTGCATGTGGGGCTTCAGTTTTAGTCCGGGGGGGGGGGGGGGGGGGGGGGGGCTGTCCCCAGCGCTGGCTGCACCCCAAAGCTGAGCCTGGGCTCAGGGTGGCCCTGGGGACACTGGGGGGGGACACACGCACATGCAGTGGGGTGCCAGCAGCTCTGCAAGCACCACGGCAAGCCTGGGACACAGCGTGGGGGGGGGGGGGGGGGGGGGGGGGGGGGCGTGGGTGGTGACAGGCAGCCCGTGGGGACCGTGGGCGCGGGTGGCACCCGCCTGGCAGCGTGACGCAGCCCCGACCCCTGTTCCTGCTGCCGGGTGGTGGCTGTCCCTTGTCCCCAAGCTCTGCTTGGAGGGGGGGGGCGTGGGGGGGTGTGTGTCCCAGCACCGATGAGTGACACCCCGAGGGTGAGTGACCCGGGGGGGGGGGGGAGCAGGTGTCCCCAGGGAGGGGTCGCCAGGCGCGGGAAGGTGACAACCGCCTTCCCCAAGGTCACATTTCCCCCGCAGCCCCGCCGGGCTCGGGAGCTTCGCGCTGGCTTTGAACGTGACGTCTGGCCGCCCCCCCCTGCCCCCCCCCCCCCCGCCCCTCGCTCGCTGGCAATCGTCACTGTCACCTTGGCCGGGACACACACACACGCACGACGGTGACACACGGCGGTGGCTCCCACCCGCTGAGGTCCTGTTGCACCCATTTCCCCGCGTGTGCCCCTCGCCCGGCTCCCCTGGCGTGCGCTCGGGCAGGTGAATGCGTGGCAGCGCCTGCGCGCGCACACGCGTGTGCGCACACGTGTGTGCGCCAGGTGTGTGCAAACGCTGGGCGGCGACGGGGCGGGGGGGGGGGGAGAAACACGCACCCATTTCCCCGCGTGGCCTGCCCAGATGCACACGCGTGTGCGCAGGGTGCTGCCAGGCCGGGGTGATGCTAACGAGATTTTGGGGGGGGGGGAAGGAGAGTGGGGGCCCGGGGGGGCACCTGGGGACACTTTTGGGGTGTGGACCCGGCTGCCGTGAAGGTTCCCCCAGCGCGGCGGCTGCTTAATTAACACAAATTGCAATCAGCCGGCGGGAGATCCCGCGGGAGCCGGGGCGGATGCCGGCCCTGGCCAGCACTCCTGCTCCTCCCCGCTGCCAGCACCCCGTGTCACCCGGCCGTGGGGACCCGGTGGCTTTTTGTGTGTGTCCCCCCCCCTCCTCATTGTCCCCTCCCCGCCTCGTCACCAGGATCCCTGTCCCCACGCGGTCCCACGGCCCCGCTGACCCCAGCATTCCCAGTGCTGGGGCTGGTCCCCCCCGGGCCGGCCGGCCGGGGTCACGGCGCTGTCCCCTCCTGGGGACTGTCCCCTGGGTTGGGGACAAGTGCCAGCATCTCCCGGGGGGGCTGCCGGTCGCGTCCTCGCCCGCGGGGTTTGGAGCTGCCGGTGGCTGTCCCCGGCGCTGAGGGACAGGGGACACGGTGTCTCCTCTCGGTCGGTGACCCGCGGGTTTTGGGGCTGGTCCCCAAGTCCCCAGCGTGGTGGGGACCCCATGACCCCAGTTGGGACCGTTCCTGCACCCCCTGCCCCACTGAGCCTGGGTCCCCCCTCGCCCCGTTCATGCCGTGCCTCAGTTTCCCCAAGGGACAGAGGTGGTGGGGACAGGGTGACATGCACGGCCACGTGCCACCCGCGTGGCAGGGACACAGGGTGATGGGGCTGGGGACGATGTGTCCCACCACGGCGGGTGGCCTCAGCCCAGGGGCCGCGTGTCCCCCCCTCCCACCCCACTGTCACTGCGTGCTGTCCCCTTCCCCACGGCCAGGTGTCAGGGTCACCCCGAGGTGTCCCCTGAGGTGTCCCCCGAGTCACAGGCCAGGCTGGCAGCATCATGGGAAACTGCTGGCAGTGGGGACAGGTGCCACCGGCCTTGGGGACCGTGTGCCCTGGTGGTGGGGACCCAGTGGGTGCTGGTGGCAGCAATGAGGATCACTGGGTGCTGGTGGGAACCAGTGGGTGCTGGTGGCAGCAATGAGGATCACTGGGTGCTGGTGGGAACCAGTGGGTGCTGGTGGCAGTGATGGGGACTGGTGGGTGCTGATGACAGTGATGGGGACCAGTGGGTGCTGGTGGGAACCAGTGGGTGCTTGCTGGCAGTGATGGGGACCAGCGGGTGCCAGTAGGGACCAGTGGGTGCTGGTGACAGTGATGGGGACCAGTGGGTGCTGGTGGCAGCGACGGGGACCATTGGGTGCCGATGGGGACCAGTGGGTGCCAGTAGGGACCAGTGGGTGCTCACAGGGACCAGTGGGTGCCGATGGGGACCAGTGGGTGCTGGTGACAGTGATGGGGACCGGTGGGTGCTGGTGGCAGTGACGGGGACCAGTGTGTGCCGATGGGGACCAGTGGGTGCCGATGGGGACCTGTGGGTGCTGGTGACAGTGATGGGGACCGATGGGTGCTGGTGGCAGCGACGGGGACCAGTGGGTGCCAGTAGGGAGCAGTGGGTGCTGGTGGGAACCAGTGGGTGCTTGCTGGCAGCGATGGGGACCAGCGGGTGCCAGTAGGGACCAGTGGGTGCTGGTGACAGTGATGGGGACCAGTGGGTGCTGGTGGCAGAGACGGGGACCAGTGGGTGCCAGTAGGGACCAGTGGGTGCTCACAGGGACCAGTGGGTGCCAGTAGGGACCAGTGGGTGCCGATGGGGACTAGTGGGTGCCAGTAGGGACCAGTGGGTGCTCACAGGGACCAGTGGGTGCCAGTAGGGACCAGTGGGTGCCGATGGGGACCAGTGGGTGCTGGTGACAGTGATGGGGACCGGCGGGTGCTGGTGGCAGCGCCGGTGACGCCTCCGGGATGGGACAAAGCGGCCAGAGGGCTGAGCCAGACCAGGCCGGGGTCTGGTGTCCCAGCAGGGGCTGTCACCTCCCCTGTGTCCCCCCCCCCCCCCCCCCCCTCCAGGTCCCTGTCCCCAGCGCGGGGGGGGCCGTGCCAGCCCCTGCCAGCCGGCGTGCGAGCAAGGCGGCTGCAGCGGGAGACATGGCTGCGGGGGCGGCGCCTTCCCGGGCGGCAGATGGGGTTCCCCCCCCCCAACTCCTCCGCACCCCCCCCCCCGCCGCCACGACAGACACACAGACACACAGACAGATGGCCGGGGGCCGAGCACATGCGTGTTCAGGCGTGTGTCAGACAGGGAGGGCTTGCCCGGGCTGGGGGGGGGGCGGGAAGAGCGTATCGCTGCGTGCAGGTGTGTGCTGCGTGCAGGCGTGTGCGTCGGTGGAAAGGGGCGCGCACGTGGGCACGCGTGTGTGTGCGTGTGCCCGGTGCGTGGGGGGGGGGTGTCTGCAGGTGCAGGCACGCGTGGTGCACGTGGAGCTGTGCCGGGCGTGCACCGCGCGTGCACATGTGCGTGTATGTTGTCGGGCAAGCATGTGTGTGTGCGTGTACGTGTGCATGTATGTGTGCGTGTGTGTGTGTACGCGTGCATTCCTGTGTGCACGCACCTTGCAGGTCCATTCGGGCATACCTGTGGGTGCGCACATGCGTGCATGCACGTGTGCACACGCGTTGATGATTGCACGTGTGCACACGCATTGTATGCGGGCATTCAGGCGTGCCTGTGCATGCACGCACACGCGTGTGCACACTCGCTGCGTGCGCCGAGCTGGGCGCGCTCCCTGCCAGGGCTTGTCCCCACGCTGCCCCACGACCCCACCCCCCCCCACCCCGGGACACTCCCGTGTCTCCGTGTCCCGTGTGGGTGTCACCAGCTGGCGTGCCAGGCTCCTGTCCCCACGTCCCCTCGCTGCTGGGGCACCCGTGGGTGCTGCCGCCACCCTGCCGTGGCAGAGCTGGTGATGTTGCACAGCACCCCCGGCCCCTCAGCAACTTCTGGAGGGGAAACTGAGGCACGGCAGTGCACGGCACCCCTCCCCAGTGCTGGGTGCTGAGCTCCCATTGCTGGGTGCAGGGTGGGCTCTGGGTGCTGGGTGCAGGATGAGCTCTGGGTGCTGGGTACTGTGTGCAGAATAGGTGCTGGGTGCAGGGTGCAGGATATAGGTGCTGTGTACCGGGTGCAGGGTGAGCTCTGGGTGCAGGGTGCAGGGTACAGGGTGAACTCTGGGTGCTTGGTCCTGGGTGCAGGCTGAGCTCTGGGTGCTGGGCGCAGGCTGAGCTCTGGGTGCTGGGTGCAGGGTGCTGGGCGCAGGCTGAAATCTGGGTGCTGGGTGCTGGGCGCAGGCTGAAATCTGGGTGCTGGGTGCAGGCTGAGCTCTGGGTGCTGGGTGCAGGCTGAGCTCTGGGTGCTGTGTGATCCCTGGGTGCTGGGTGCAGGCTGAGCTCTGGGTGCAGGGTGCTGGGTGCAGGCTGAGCTCTGGGTGCTGGGTGCAGGATGAGCTCTGGGTGCAGTGTGATCCCTGGGTGCTGGGTGCAGGATGAGCTCTGGGTGCTGGGTGCAGGGTGCTGGGCACAGGCTGAGCTCTGGGTGCTGGGTGCAGGCTGAGCTCTGGGTGCTGGGTGCAGGGTGCTGGGCACAGGCTGAGCTCTGGGTACTGGGTGCAGGGTGCTGGGCGCAGGCTGAGCTCTGGGTGCTGGGTGCAGGCTGAGCTCTGGGTGCTGGGCGCAGGCTGATCTCTGGGTGCTGCAGGCTCACCTCTGGGTGCTGGCTACCCCCTCCCCCCCCCTCCCAAATTCCCCCCCCCTTCCACCCCCTCCCCCCCCTCCCCTCATTCCCCCCCCCCCCCCACCCAGGGACCCCTCTGGCCGGGTACCCACCGCCCCATCCCCTGCACCCTCACACCTCCGGGCGCTGCCCACGCGTGTCAGGGCGCGTGTCAGGGCTCACCCACCCGCAGGACCCCCACGGCCAACCCCCCCCCCCCCCCAATCCCATGTCCCCTGGGTGCTGGGGGGGGGTGATGGGTGACGCGGCGCCCGGCTGCCCGCAGCCTGCGCTACCTGGTGAAGCAGCTGGAGACGGGCGAGGTGAACATGGAGGAGCTGAAGAGGAACCTGGAGTACGCGGCCTCGCTGCTGGAGGCCGTCTACATCGACGAGACGAGGTGCGGCGAGTAGCCACGGGGCTAGCGGGACGACGGGCAGGGTGTTGAAGGGCGGGGGGGGGGGTGGGTGGGGGGGGGGGGTGGGTGACGGCCACCTGGGTGCCACCACCCACCGCGTCGTCCCGTCCCGCAGGCAGATGCTGGACACGGAGGACGAGCTGCGGGAGATGGGCTCGGACGCGGCCGTGCCCTCGGAGGTGCGGGACTGGCTGGCGGCCACCTTCACCCAACAGGCCCGAGCCAAAGGCCGCCGGGCCGAGGAGAAGCCCAAGTTCCGCAGCATCGTGCACGCCGTCCAGGCTGGCATCTTCGTGGAGAGGTGGGTGCCGGGTGGCGCCCGCCCCCCAGCCCCAGCCCCAAGCCCGTGGGTGGATGGGGAGGGGGAGCGGGGACATGGCTGGGAGGGAGGTGGAGGCGGAGGGGAGGGAAGGCCCTGGCTCTCCCCAGCACCCAGGTGGGTCCCCAAGCACCCGGATGGGTCCCCTGAGCACCCAGGTGGGTCCCCTGAGCACCCAGGTAGGAACCCAAGCACCCAGGTGGGTCCCCAAGCACCCAGGTAGGACCTCGAGCACCCAGGTGGGTCCCCTGAGCACCCAGGTAGGACCTCGAGCACCCAGGTGGGTCCCCTGAGCACCCAGGTAGGAACCCAAGCACCCAGGTGGGTCCCCTGAGCACCCAAGTAGGACTCCAAGCACCCAGGTGGGTCCCCAAGCACCCAGTTAGGACCTTGAGCACCCAGGTGGGTCCCCTGAGCACCCAGGTAGGACCTCGAGCACCCAGGTGGGTCCCCTGAGCACCCAGGTAGGAACCCAAGCACCCAGGCGGGTCCCCTGAGCACCCAGGTAGGACCTCGAGCACCCAGGTGGGTCCCCTGAGCACCCAGGCGGGTCCCCAAGCACCCAGTTAGGACCTTGAGCACCCAGGTGGATCTCCTGAGCACCCAGGTGGGTCCTCTGAGCACCCAGGTAGGAACCCAAGCACCCAGGCGGGTCCCCTGAGCACCCAGGCGGGTCCCCAAGCACCCAGTTAGGACCTTGAGCACCCAGGTGGGTCCCCTGAGCACCCAAGTGGGTCCCCCGAGCACCCAGGTTGGACCTCAAGTACCCAGGTGGGTCCCCAAGCACCCAGGTGGGTCCCTAATCACCCAGGTGGGTCCCCTGAGCACCCAGCTAGGACCTCAAGCACCCAGGTGGGTCCCCAAGCACCCAGGTAGGACCCTAAGCACCCAGGTGTGTCCCCTGAGCACCCAAGTGGGTCCCCTGAGCACCCAGGTGGGACCTCGAGCACCCAAGTGGGTCCCCTGAACACCCAGGTGGGATCTCAAGCACCCAAGTGGGTCCCCTGAGCACCCAGGTAGGACCCCAAGCACCCAGGTAGATCCCCAAGCCCTGAGATGGGTCCTCTGAGCCCCCAGGTGGGTCCCCTGAGCACCCAGGTAGGATCTCGAGCCCCCAGGTGGGTCCCTGAGCACCCAGGGGCTGTCTTCAGCACCCAGGTGGGTCCCCTGAGCACCCAGGTGGGTCCCCGAGCACCCAGGGGCTGTCCTCAGTGCCCAGGTGCATCCCCCAGCACCCATATGGGTCCCCAAGCACCTGGACTGTCTTCGGCAGCCAGGTTTGTCCCCAGGCACCCAGCTGAGTCCTTGAGCACCCAGATCGACCTCCTGCCCCCAGGGCTTGTCCCCTGGCACCCAAGGTCTGAGCACCCAGGTGGGTCTCCCAGCACCCAGCTCTGTCCCCCAGCACCCACAACAGCCCCGACTCCCCTCTCCTTGCAGGATGTTTCGCCGGACGTACACGGCCGTGGGGCCCAGCTACTCCACCTCCGTCCTGAACTGCCTGAAGGTACCCGGGGGGGGTGTGGGGGGGGGCACCCCTGACATCACTGGGCGCCACTGGGTGCCACTGGGCTCACCCCGGCGCTGGGCTAATGCCATCCCCCCCCTCCCCAAGAGCCTCGACCTGTGGTGCTTCGACGTCTTCGCGCTGAACCGGGTGACGGACGATCACGCCCTGAGGACCATCGTCTTCGAGCTCTTCACCCGACACAACCTCAACAGCCGCTTCAAGGTGTGTGCCCACCCGCCCCCCCGCACCCCGCCGTGCCCACCCATGGGTGCCCCCAGGGCTGGGTTCCTGCTGGGCGCCGGTGGTTTTTCGAGCGTGCGTGCCGGTGCCGCAGATCCCCGCCGTCTTCCTGACGACGCTGCTGGACGCGCTGGAAACCGGTTACGGAAAGTACCGCAACCCCTACCACAACCAGGTCCACGCCGCCGACGTCACCCAGACCGTCCATTGCTTCTTGCTCCGCACCGGCATGTTGGTACGGGGGGCGTGGGGGGTGTGTGTCCCACTGTGGGGTCCCGGGACGTGGTGGGGTCGGTGCCTGGTGCCGGTCCGGCTGGTCCAGGCGATGCTCGTTACCACGGAGACCTCCCCGCCGAGCAACAGCTCTGTCGCCATGGAATCATTGCCAGGATGACGGAGGGAAGGGGTGACCCCCTGAATTTTTTGGGGTGGGTGGGCGCCCGTGGGGTGACACCCGGCCCCACACGCGCGCGGGCTGCCAGCCCCGCGTGGCTGTCAGGCTTGTCGCGGGCGCGTGCCCACGCTCGTGGCGTGTCACGCACACGGGTGGCGTGCAAACGCGCGCGCGTGGAGGACGCCTGCACCCCTCCGGCCCCGTGGCCCTCGTGGGGTGGCACTGGTGCTCGTCCCCGTCCCCCTGACACCTGTCTCCCCCCAGCACTACCTGACGGAGATCGAGGTCCTGGCCATCATCTTCGCTGCCGCCATCCACGACTACGAGCACACGGGCACCACCAACAGCTTCCACATCCAGACCAAGTGAGGGGGGGGGGGGGCACGGCGTGGGGGGGCACGGCGTGGTGCAGGGGACATGGCACGGGGGGCACGGTGTGGTGCAGGGGACACAGCATGGCACGGGTGGCACGGCACAGCACGGTGTGGTGCAGGGGACATGGCAAGGGTGGCACGGTGTGGTGCAGGGGACACAGCATGGCCCGGGTGGCACAGCACGGGTGGCACAGCATGGTGCAGGAGACACGGCATGGCACGGGTGGCACAGCGTGGTGCAGGGGACACAGCATGGCACGGGTGGCACAGCACAGCACGGGTGGCACGGTGTGGTGCAGGGGACACAGCATGGCCCGGGTGGCACAGCATGGGTGGCACAGCATGGTGCAGGAGACACGGCATGGCACGGGTGGCACAGCGTGGTGCAGGGGACACAGCATGGCACGGGTGGCATGGCACAGCATGGGTGGCACAGCATGAGTGGCATGGTGTGGTGCAGGTGACATGGCACGGGTGGCACGGTGTGGTGCAGGGGACACAGCATGGCACGGGTGGCACGGCACAGCACGGTGTGGTGCAGGGGACATGGCAAGGGTGGCACGGTGTGGTGCAGGGGACACAGCATGGCCCGGGTGGCACAGCACGGGTGGCACAGCATGGTGCAGGAGACACGGCATGGCACGGGTGGCACAGCGTGGTGCAGGGGACACAGCATGGCACGGGTGGCACAGCACAGCACGGGTGGCACGGTGTGGTGCAGGTGACATGGCACGGGTGGCACAGCGTGGTGCAGGGGACACAGCATGGCACGGGTGGCACAGCACGGGTGGCGTGGTGCAGGCGACATGGCACGGGTGGCACGGCGTGGTGCAGGGGACACAGCACGGCACGGGTGGCACAGCACAGCACGGGTGGCACGGTGTGGTGCAGGGGACACAGCATGGCCCGGGTGGCACAGCACGGGTGGCACAGCGTGGTGCAGGAGACACGGCATGGCACGGGTGGCACAGCGTGGTGCAGGGGACACAGCATGGCACGGGTGGCACAGCATGAGTGGCATGGTGTGGTGCAGGTGACATGGCACGGGTGGCATGGTGTGGTGCAGGGGACACAGCATGGCACGGGTGGCACAGCACGGGTGGCACAGCGTGGTGCAGGAGACACAGCACAGCATGGGTGGCACGGTGTGGTGCAGGGGACATGGCACGGGTGGCACGGTGTGGTTCAGGGGACACAGCATGGCACGGGTGGCATGGCACAGCATGGGTGGCACAGCACGAGTGGCATGGTGTGGTGCAGGTGACATGGCACGGGTGGCACAGCACGGCATGGTCAGAACACGGGGACCCGTTATGGGGCCACGTGGGACGCTGTGGGGCATGGGAAGGACTGAGTGGCACCTTGGGGACACCCAGGACACCTGAGGTCACCCATACGGCTGGGATACAGATGTGCTGGCACCTTGGGGACACTCAGTGCCGCCTATATGGCCAGGATACAGATGTGCTGGCACCCTGGGGACATCCCTCTGCCCCGGGTGGGGGGCTCAGGCTGCCCCACACTGTGCCAGGGCCCCACTGTCCCCTCTGTCCCCAGGTCGGACTGTGCCATCCTCTACAACGACCGCTCGGTGCTGGAGAACCACCACATCAGCGCCGTCTTCCGCATGATGCAGGACGACGAGATGAACATCTTCGTCAACCTCACCAAGGACGAGTTTGTGTAAGGTCCCCGTCCCTGTCCCCGGGGCTGTCCCCCGGAGGGGACGCGGGGCCCTGATGGCATTTCCCCCCACCCCGGGGCGCAGGGAGCTGCGGGCGCTGGTGATCGAGATGGTCCTGGCCACCGACATGTCCTGCCACTTCCAGCAGGTGAAATCCATGAAAACGTCCCTGCAGCAACTGGAGAGGTGAGTGGGGGGCGTGTGTGGGTGTGGGGGGGTGTGGGTGTGTTTGTGTCCCCACCCCGGGTTGGGGACGCACGCGCAGAGATGTGGTTTTGGGGGGGACGAGTCTCAGCGCCGGGGTCCCCTCCCCAGGATCGACAAATCCAAGGTGCTGTCGCTGCTGCTGCACGCGGCCGACATCAGCCACCCCACCAAGCAGTGGTCGGTGCACAGCCGCTGGACCAAAGCGCTGATGGAGGAGTTCTTCAGGCAGGTAGGGCCCCCGCGTCCCCGGGGACAAGTTGGGGGGGGGGACACACACATGGGGACCACCACCCCTTGGGGACACGTCTCCTTTGCCTTGCCAGGGGGACAAAGAGGCTGAGCTGGGGCTGCCTTTCTCCCCCCTCTGCGACCGCACCTCGACGCTGGTGGCTCAGTCCCAGATTGGTGAGTCCCCGGCCCGGTTTTTCTCCCCGGGGGGGGAGGTGGGGGGTGTCCCCAGCCCCGCCCTGTCTCCAAAGGGTGTCCCCATCGTGGTGTCCCCTCCCCGCTGCAGGCTTCATCGACTTCATCGTGGAGCCCACCTTCTCGGTGCTGACTGACGTGGCCGAGAAGATGGTGCTGCCCCTCGCCGAGGACGGCACCAAAGCCAAGGGCAACCCCGGGGCCGGCCAGCAAGCCAGGTTGGCCACGCCGCCCTGCCTCAGTTTCCCCCTTCCCCTCCACGGGGGCTCAGCTGGTGGCGGTGGTGGTGGTGGGGGGGCCCACCCGCTGAGTTTGGGACCTGGGAGGTGAGGTGGCAGCGGTGGCTCGGCTCTGCTGCCAGCTCTCCCTGTCCCCGCAGCTCGCAGTGGCGGCAGCCGTCCCTGGACGAGCACCTGGAGCTTGGGGACATCAAAGCCGACCTGGCCGGCTTCCGTTCCACCTGGGCCAAGTACATCCAGGAGAACAAGCAGAAGTGGAAGGAGCGGGCGGCCAGCGGTAGGTGACAGCCACCACGGCCACCGCAGCCACCGGGGAGCGGATGGGGACCGCCCCCGGGATGCAGGGGGCCGCGTCCCATCCCGTGCCTGGGTGGGGAGGTGACTCAAGCGGGGAGAGGGTGGCCCCTCGGACTTGTAAAGTGGGTGACACCCCCCCCCCACCCCGAGAGTGGCGGGAGTGACCCCCCCCAGCCCCTCGTCCCACCGCAGGCATCACCAACCAGGCGTCCATCGAGGAGCTGTCACCCTGCGAGGAGCAGCAGCCCGTGGTCCCCCCCCGGCACAGGCAGAACGGGGACGTGGAATAACACCGGGAGGAACGAGGTGGGCTCAGGGCCCGGGGGGGGGGGGGGGGGCACAAACTGTGGGGCTTGGTGGCACCTCCGTGACTGTCCCCCACTCCCCCCCCCTCCCCGGGCGGCAGATCCTTGTCCGGCCGAGTGACGCCGTCTCGCCCGAAGTCTTCGATGCCATCGAGTCCAGCACCATTCGCAGGGAAGGAGCCGCCCCCGGGGGCCACGCGCGGATCGGGGGCCAACCTCGGCGCCAGGAGCGTCCCCGGGGCCACCACCCCCTCCCCCCCCCACCCCCACCCCGTGCCAAACCGGCCACCGAGCCACGGGGCCTTGGGCACCGACCCACTCACTGCCACGCCACCCGGTTTTGTCCTTATGGCTTTTTAAAAAAGCTTCTTCTCGCCCCGCTGGGGGGGGGAAGCCGGGTGCTTGTGTGTGTGGGGGGGTGGGTGGGTTGGGGACAATAATGGTGGCACCGGGGGATAACAGGGGACCGAGGAGCCGTGTCGGATGCGCTGTCACCCCGAGGGCCACCCCGCTCCCCTCTCTGGGTCCGGTGACACCGTGATGGGTGGCCCCCGATGTCCCCCACCCCGCCCCAAGCATCCCCGTGCTGGGAGCTGTGTCTCTGTGTGTCACCCCGTGCTGGGGACACGGGTGTGGGTGGGGGGGGGTGTGTGTGTCCCCACTCTGTGGGGGGGGCCTGTCCCCGGGGTCCGCCGGCCTCCTTGGGGTCCTGCCCCACGTGCTGTGGGTACGGCTGGGAGCTGGGGGGGGCGGGCAGCGAGGTGCTGGGGGTGGGGCCGGAGCGGCGCTGGGAGCTGGGGCAGGATTAGGCCCTGACGTGGCAGCGCCAGCCCCTGGCTCCAGCCTCCCCCCAGTTTTAGCGGGGGGGGGGACACACTTCCCCTTCCCCCGCCCCCACTCCAGCCTCCCCCAGCTCCACGCTCCCTCCAGCATCCCCCAGTTTTGGGGAGGGGGTGGGGGGGGCCCTCCAGTACCTCTCGGCTCCGGTGTATTCCAGCACCGCTGACTCCAGCATGCCTCCCAGTACCCCCCCCCATGCCTCCCAGTACCCCCCCCATGCCTCCCAGTACCCCCCCCCCATGCCTCCCAGTACCCCCCCCATGCCTCCCAGTACCCCCCCCATGCCTCCCAGTACCCCCCCCCATGCCTCCCAGTACCCCCCCCCATGCCTCCCAGTACCCCCCCCATGCCTCCCAGTACCCCCCCCCATGCCTCCCAGTACCCCCCCCCATGCCTCCCAGTACCCCCCCCATGCCTCCCAGTACCCCCCCCCCGCTCCCCCCCCCCCAGCTTCCTCCAGCTCCCGGCGACGGGCTCAGAGCATCTTCCTGCTCCGGCATCTTCCCGCTCCGGCCACGCCGCCCGGCCGTGACCGTGACCGTGACCGTGACCGTGACCGTGACCCCGCCGCCGTGGTCCGGCCCCGTCTGTGTTTGGACTTTTCTACCCCCCGTGGGAACACGTCGTGTCCCCAAACCCGGTCACCGCTGGCAGAGCTCCACCTCGCTCTTCAGTCACCGCCCCCCCCAAGCCCCCCTGCCCCCCCCCCCCCCCCCTTTACACGCATGTGAAACGAAGTGCCGCCGCTAATGAGCAATTAATAAAGCGTACGCCACCACCCACCCGGCTCCTGCCCCCTCATCCTGGGCGCTGGGGACACGCTTTGACCCCACTGCGGGGGGGGGGAACGGGGGGGGGGAAGGAGGGCTGGGTCCCTCCCCAGGGGACAGTGACCAGGACCTGGGGGTGGCAGGGCTGGATGGGACCCTCGGAGGGGGTGAAGCTGGAGGTGGGTGCTGCCCCCCCAACACCCAAAGGGGGGGGGGGTCCCAGCCCACCCACCCACCCACACCCCCCCCCCCCCCGGCGCGGAGGCAAGGAGGAGGCTGTGGGGAGAAGGGATCCCTTTAATACCGGCTGAGGTGGGGGGGGGGCGGGGGGGGGGTCCCCGCACCAGCCCAGGCATGTGCACACGTGTTCTGTGTGTCCGCACATGGGCGTGCATGCGAATCACATGTGCAAAGTGCGCGGGTGTCTGGCCCCCCCCCGCCCCGTGTCCGTGTGTGCGCACACGTGTCTGTGTCCATGTGTGTGTGCGTGCAAACGCCCGGGTGTCCCCCCCCAGGAACATGCATGTGCGCACCCTCCCCCCTCCCATCACGCGTGTGCAAGTGTGCACACCAACCTTGCATGTGCGTGCACACACGCGTGTGCCGGGCAGGGTGCAGCTTCCCGTTGGGCTGCGTGTCCCCCAGCCCTGGGGAGGGGGGGTTGAGGGGGGGGGTTGTGACAGTGGGGTGGCCCTGGGGACACCCCAGGGCTGGCAGTGAGGGTGGTGGGGGGGGGGTGGCACAAGCTGTGTCCCCAGTGTCCCCCACACTGGGGACCTGGGGAATGGGGGGGGGGGGTGAGGGGGGTTAGGGGACAGGGTGGGCAGCCCGGCTTGCCGTTGTCCCCAAAACCCCCCCCCCCCAAACCGGGAACGGGGGGACGGGGGTGGGGACCTGCCCGAGGCAGTAAAAAAAAAAAAAAAACCAAAAAACAAAAATACCAAAAAAATCCTCTGGAAGCCCCAAAGCAGCCGTTAAAATCTTAGAAAAAATGATCAGATAAAAAAAATAACGCGGTGTCGGGCTCGCCCGGCCACGGCCTCGCTCCCGCTGGCACCTGGGGACAGAGGGGGGTGGCACTGGGGGATGGGGACCCCGCGGGGGGGGGGACCCGCCCCCCCCCCCCCCCCCCAAACCATCCCTGCCCCATCCGCCGCAAGGCCCCGTCACCGGTGCCACCCTCGCCCCGTGTCGTTGTCCCCTTCCCCGGCATGTGCCCAGGGTACACCCCTGGTGTCCCAGTAACCAGTCCCGGGACAGTGCCCCAGTACCCCCGTAGTGCCCCAGTATCCCCCCCCCCCAAACTCCCCAGTACCCCCTCAGTTCCCCAGGACAGGGTCCCAGTACCCCCCTAGTGCCCCAGGACAGGGTCCCAGTACCCCCCAGTGTTTCAGTACAGTGCCCCAGTACCCCCCCAGTGCCCCAGGGCAGGGTCCCAGTACCCCCCCCAGTGCCCCAGGACAGGGTCCCAGTACCCCCCCCAGTGCCCCAGGACAGTGCCCCAGTACCCCCCCAGTGCCCCAGGACAGTGCCCCAGTACCCCCCCAGCGCCCCAGGACAGGGTCCCAGTACCCCCCTGGTGCCCCAGTATCCCCCCCAGTGCCCCAGTACCTCCCAGTGTCTCAGTACAGTGCCCCCATGCCCCCCAATGGCCCAGTACAGTGCCCCAGTACCCCCCCCCAGTTCCCCAGTACAGTGCCCCAGTACCCCCCCTCAGTGCCTGAGGACAGTGTCCCAGTAACCCCCTAGTGCCGCAGTATCCCCCCCCCCCCAGTTCCCCAGTACCCCCCCAGTTCCCCAGTACAGTGCCCTAGGACCCCTCCAGTGCCACAGTACATCACCCCAGTAAGCCCGTAGTGCCCCAGTATCCCCCCCCCCAGTTCCCCAGTACCCCCCCAGTTCCCCAGTAAACCCCTAGTGCCCCAGTATCCCCCCCCAGCTCCCAGTACCCCCCCAGTTCCCCAGTACAGTGCCCTAGGACCCCTCCAGTGCCCCAGTACATCACCCCAGTGAGCCCCTAGTGCCCCAGTATCCCCCCCAGTTCCCCAGTACAGTGCCCTAGTACCCCCCCAGTGCCTGAGGACAGTGTCCCAGTAACCCCTTAGTGCCCCAGTATCCCCCCCCCACTCCCCAGTATCCCCCCCAGTTCCCCAGTACAGTGCCCTAGTACCCCCCCAGTTCCCCAGTAAACCCCTAGTGCCCCAGTATCCCCCCCCCCAGCTCCCCAGTACCCCCCCAGTTCCCCAGTACAGTGCCCTAGGACCCCTCCAGTGCCCCAGTACAGGGTCCCAGTGAGCCCCTAGTGCCCCAGTATCCCCACCCCAGTTCCCCAGGACCCCCCCCAGTTCCCCAGTACGTACCTACTGGCTGCTGGCAGCACCCTTCCCAGCACCTTCCTTCGGTGCTATATGGGTGCCCTCCTTGGCCAGGCTTTGCCGCCCGTCCCCGTGGGTCCCTGCGGGCGCTGTGGGGCAGGGGGTGAGCTCAGGACCCCCACCCCCTTACTGCACCCCCTCCCCTTCCCAGCACCCCCCCCCCCCACTCCCAGCATCCCAAAACCCTCCCTCTCAGCACCCCAAAACCCGCCCCGGCTGCGCTGCGCGGAGGCTCCCGGGGCTGGGGACGGGGGTTACTCACGCTTGCCAGGGCCGGGGCCACCCTCGTGCGTGGCCAGCGGGCAAGTGCCACCAGGACTGTGGCTGTGCTCGATGTCACCGTGGTGGCAGTGGCCGGGGCCACGCTCCTGGCCGGCGGCAGCCTCTTCTTCCTCCTCCTCCTCCTCCTCACCCTGCGCCTGCTTGCACAGGTGATGCTCCACCATCATCTGCAGCTCTGCCAGGCAGGGAGCGGCGCTGGGGGGGGGACGGGACGCGGGGGGGCAGTGGTGACCGTCCCCACGTTCCCGGTGACACCGGGGAGGTGCAGCCCGGCAAGCTTGGTGACCCTCCTGTCCCCCACGGGTGGCATTTGCCATGCTTGGACACCGCCCCCCCCCCAGTGCCCACGGGCACGGCCACGCTCCTGCCCCGGGGTTGGGAGCACGTCCAAGGCCAGCACAGAGGGGGTGACACCCCACCTGCCTGTCCCCTGGGGTGCCGGAGGGGTGGGGGGGGGGGACGGGACTGTCACCCCCCCTGTATCCCCCCATCCCCAAATACCTTTCATGGTTGGGGTGGTGCGGGAAACCTTCTTCCTCTGCCTGGGTGACATGGCCAGACCCGACTGCGAGGGAAGGGGGGGGGGTGAGTGGGGTCTGGGGGGGCACCCTGGGGTACCCCGAGGGGCTGGGTGCCCGCCCCCCCCGCAGCCCCCCCCATGGCGGCAGCACGTACCTTCAGCAGGGGGTTGGGCAGCCGGTCCTCATCGATTTCTGGGTGGGTGGGGGGCAGGGGGGGGACATGACACGACAAGAGGTCAGTGGTGGGAGTGGGGTGTGGGCTCCACCATGCACCCCCCGACGTGGACCTGGCCCCACGGGGTCTGCCCGTCACCCATGGGTGCTCGGCGTGGCTGTGGGTGCCGTCCTGCTCCCCCCCAGCATCACCATTGTGCCCCCCCCCCCCCCCGCATTGCCATGGAAACCAGCATCCCCCGCCGTGTCCCACCAACGGTGGCAGAGGGTGGCCAGCGGTGACTCGGCCCCTGTCCCCACGCCACCAGCCCTGTGGCCACATCCTGACCCCCCCCCCCCTTCCCCCCCCCCCCCCCCGTGGGATGATGCTCAGCGCCCCCCCCACCCCCCAGGAGCTGGTTTATTCCCAACCAGAGCCACTGTCCCCAATGGCTGCAGGATCTGGAGGTGACACTTGGGGACAGTGTCTCCCAGACAACGAGGGGGGGTGTCCCCAAAGCAGGGGACAGATGAAACCACACAGCTTGGGGGGGGGGGGGCGGGGGGGGCAGGGAGGCTGTGACATAGATGCCAGCGGGTCCCACCCCGTCCCCAAAGGCCACATGTCTTTGGGTTGGTGACTGAGGCGCTTTTAAATGTCACAGCTGGTGGCCCCTGCTCCCCGTGCCAGCGGGGGTGGCCCCGTGCCGGTGTCCCCAGCACCGTGTCACGGGGCAGCTGCTTCGCCTGGAGATAGATGGGGGGGGGGGGGGGAGCGAGACGCAGGGCCCGATCCTGGGAGGGCAGCCCTGGAGCAGGGAGGGGGAAGTGTGTCCCCGGGCTGGGTGGGACATGGGGACAGTCCCAGGGTGGGGGACACACCACACACACACACACACACACAGAGTGCTGTGCCAGGTTGCAGGATGAGTCCCGTTGCAACCAGAGTGCTGTAGTCCTGAGCATCATGTACGGGGGGGAGCTGAGCATCATTTGAGGGGGGGGATCCCTGAGCGCCCCGTAGCGGAGCTTGGGGTGACAGGGTGGCACCGGCGAGGACCCACCTGGGGACGACTGGTCACTGCTCAGGACCAGGTTGGCGGGAGTTGGTCGGCGCCTCCGGATCTGGGAAAGGAGGGGGAGGGAGGAATGAGGGACTCAGGACCCACGGCTGCACCCCGAACCCCACCGCGCCCACCCAGAGCCCTGCAGCACCGAGACACACCCCCCACCCACCCCCCCCGCACTGTCCTTGTCCCCAAGGCGGTGGTGGCCCCGTGGGGATGGAGGACACCGGGCCAGGGCCCGGAGCCCAGCGGCTCCCGTGGCCGGACACACGTGTCTTTTAAATCAACATCTCCCGGCCAGCGTTAACGACAGCCGGGAGCTAATTATACCCCAGCCCCGGGAAACGCTTGGGGACATCGGTGTGGTGACACTGCCGGGGCCCTGCCCTTCCTCTGCGGGCACCGCGTCCTTGGCCAAGGTCACCTGGAGCATCCCGGATTGCTCCCGCTCCACGTCCCCCCCTCCTCGGTGCCTTCACGGGGGTTTTGTGGCCCCGTTGGAGGATTTGGTGGCCACGGCGCGGCCGTGCCCGGTGGCAGCGGTGACAGTGGTGACACCGCGCCCGCGGCTGCCCCCTCGACCCCTTTCCCCGCTGACCCACTAACTGAGTTGCTCCCAAAACCGAATTTCCCAGCGAGGATTCCCTAATGAGGCGGCGTGCCTAATGAGATGCTGATGAGATGCTAATGAGGCGGATGAGCGGCTGGAGGAAGCCCCCTCCCCACCCCCACCCCCCCCCGGCCCCCCCCCCCCCCCCGCCGCATCTTCGCCGTGTCGGCCCCGTTGCCATAGAAACCCGCGATCTGGATTTTAAACGGAGATTAGAGGGAGCCGGGAATCGCCCGGAATCGCCCCGTCCCCACCAGGAACGAGCCCCCCCCCCAACTGCACTCCAGGGTTGGGGCCCAATGCCCCCCCCCGCCCCCTCAGCGATGGGCTGGGGTCCCCCCAGGGCCGGATCGGACCCTGCAGCCCCCGGTGCTGGACCCCGAGGAAGCCAGAGCCACCCCCGGGCTGCTCTAGCACCTCAGAAACCCACCTTGGGCGCGGGAGCAGGGCTGTGCCCCCCCCCCACCCCGGGCTGGGCTGGGGGGGACGTGGGTGTCACCTGCTCAAGGTCACCCAGGTGGAGCTGAGCACCCTGAGCTGCGCTCACCTTCCTGCTCTAGACTGGGGACCCCCCACCCCCCCCCACCCCAAGGTGTCTGGGTGGCTCCTGCCCCGACGCCCCGGGGAGGGATGCTCTGGTCCTCCCTCCTGGCATCCCTCCATCCCTCCATCTCTCTATCCCTGCATCCCTCTATCCCTCCCTCCCTCCCTCCCTCCCTCCCTCCCTTCATCACTCCCTCCATCCATCCCTCCCTCCCTCCTTCTCTCCCTCCCTCCATCCATCCTTCCTCTTTTTATCCCTCCCTCCCTCCCTCCATCCTTCCCTCCCTCTCTTCATCACTCACTCCATCCCTCCCTCCCTCCCTCCCTCCCTCCATCCATCCCTTCCTCCCTTCCTCCCTCCTTCTCTCCCTCCCTCCCTCCCTCCCTCCCTCCCTCCCTCCCTCCCTCCCTCCTTCCTTCCACCCATCCTTCCCTCCCTCCCTCGGCCGGGGCGCCGTGCTCTCCTGCCATCTCTATTTTTAGATCAATCTCCACCATCGATTAAGAAGCCGCCGCGGCCGAGGGCGGCAGGAGCTCGGCCCCAGCGCAGCATCGCTGGGGAGGGGGCGGGGGGGGGGGTGGTGGTGGTACTGCTGGTCCCTCCAGCCCTGGGAGGGAAATCGGGATGGGAACGGGATCGGGAACCAGCCCGGGATCGGGGATGGGTCCAGCTCATCTCTCAGCAGGATGGAGCAAACGCCCCTGGACGGTCCCCCCCCCCCAGCCTTGGGGACACACGGTGCTCAGGGTGGGGTGGGGGACCTGCAGGACAAACCCCTGGGCCGGGCTTGGCACCCATGGGTGGCACCCAGGAGGGCTGGGGCAGATGGGTGCTCTTGGCGGAGAGGGGAGTCAAGGAGCTGCGGGACCTGTGGGGACATGGGGGACTCGAGAGGGCCCGTGGGGACAAGGTTCTTTTGGAGGGTGGGGCTGGGCAGGCTTGGGGACAACCCTGTGGGACATGGGGACACCGTGGCACAGCCTGGCTGGGACAGCCGAGCCCCCCCGTCAGCGCGAGCCCCTGACGGGGGGGAACCCACATCGGGCTCTTCCCCTGCAGGGACACCCCAAAAAAGGGGAGCTGTGAACCCGGGGAGGGGACATCAGCATCGTCACCTGCTGCCACCACCCAGGGCGGGCAGCTTGCGGGGGCGGGGGGGCCCTGCCACACTACCGAGCGCCGCCGAACCGAGGCGCCGAGACATGGCTGGGAGGGGAAACTGAGGCAGGGACAGGCAGGGGGGACCTACCCCCCACACCCCAACACCCCCCCAGGGCAGGGTTGTGCCTGAGCCCCCCCCAGCCCCCCTGTAGCCCAACTGTGACGGGGAGTGGGACACGGGCACCCGCTGCTCCTCGCTGCAGCCAGGATGAGTGCTGAGGGGGGGTGGGGTGTCTCACTCTCAGTAGCCCCCTCTCTGTCCCCCTGTCCCCCCCCCCAAGCTCTCGCCCCCGCTCCTGGGGGGGGGGGGGGGGGGGCCGCGCTGCAAATGAGCCGTGCGGCAGCCCCAGATGGTGCGTGGCCGTTATTTAGCGACGGCGCGATGCTCGCCGGGGAGGTGGCCCGCGCTCGCCTCCGCGCCGCTGGCACCCACGGGCGCCTCGGGTGCCAGCCACCCTGCTGCTGGGGACCCCCAGCCTGGGGGGGGGGACACACACACGCACAGAGAGAGGACACAGCTGGGAGGGAGCCTCCCCCCCCACACACCTCCTCAGCATCCTCAGAGCTTCCCATGCCTGGTTGTGATGGGGATACTGGGGAGGGGGGGGGGTGGTGACCCCCAAGACCCCTCTTGTCCCCTGCAGCCCCCAGGGGTGGGGTGGGGGCACAGCCTGAGTAGGCAGAGAGAGGGGTGAGGCTGCCTGGGGGGGGGGGGGGGGTCAGCCCCGTCGTGTCCCCCCCCCCCCGCCAGGCCACGGTGTCCCCAACGCTATTCTGGGATCCCCTCCAGCGGGAGCAGGGGTTGAGCAAGGGCTGGAGGGCCCCGGGGGCCCCGGGGGGGGGGGGGGGGGGGGGGGGGGGGGCGGCCCGTAACCCTACACCCACCCCGGGACGGCCCCGGCGGCGATGTGCTGAGCCAGGCCATGGCCCTGGCACCGTCACCCCGGGGCCCCACGGCCACCCGTGTCCCCACGGTCACCCCGTCCTGCCCCCGGGGGACCCGAGCCCACGGGGGTGTTTGGGGGGGGGGTGCGGCGGGGGCGGTGTGTGTGTGTGTGTGTGTGTGTGTGTGTGGCGGGGGGGGGGTGGGGGGGTGACACTAGGGCGGGGAGAGGGGTGGGGGGGTGTCCCTCTACCGGTGGGGGGGGGGGGGGGGGGGGCTGCACCCACCTGGCAGCACCCGGAGGGTGCGCCTTCCCACGCCGCAGCCGTCCCCGTGGCACCCCCCGCCCCCCAGGGGTGCCACCACCGCCCTGACACCGCGGTGGTCGCACAGGGGGGACCGCCCCCCTCCCCCCCCCCCCCCCCCCCCTCCTTTTACCCGTGTCCTCACCGTGCCCTTCCCACGCCCGCAGCCTTCCCCGCACCACCCGGTACCTCCCCCCCCCCCCCCCTTCCCGGTCCCCAGCAGGACCACCCGGCTCGCCCCGGGGTGTGTCCCCCCCCTCTTTCCCCGGTGTCCCCCCGTCCCCCCCCACCTGCTCGGCCGCCTCCGGGTCGAGGTGCGGCTCCAGTAGCGGCACCGTGAACTGGATCTTGCGGGGGCTGTTGGGCTCCATGGCGGGCGGCGGCTCCGGTGGCTCCGGTGGCTCCCGGCGGCTCCCGGCCCTGCCCGGGCCGCCCCGCCCCGGCCCCGCCCATGCCACGCCCAGGACACGCCCAGTCCCGCCCCGCCCCCGCCCGGCCCCGGTCTCGGTCGCCTCCGGCGGAGCGAACGGACGGACGGTGGGAACTGCCGGGACGGACGCCGGGACGGAGGGATGGACGAGGGGCTGGTGCGTCAGGACGCTGGGGTGGGCACGTGGACAGAGGGACGGACACACGGACAGACCTTGGGACACAGGGACAGGCACACGGACAGAGGGATGGACACACGGACAGACCCCGGGACACAGGGACAGGCACATGGACACAGGGATGGACACACGGACAGACCCCGGGACACAGGGACAGGCACATGGACGCAGGGTTGGACACACGGACAGATCCTGCGACGCAGGGACAGACACATGGACACAGGGATGGACACATGGACACAGGGATGGACACACGGACAGACCCCGGGACACAGGAAAGACACATGGACAGATCCCGGGACACAGGGACAGACACACGGACAGACCCTGGGACACAGGGACAGACACATGGACACAGGGATGGACACACAGACAGGCCCCAGGACACAGGGAAAGACACATACATGGACAGACCCTGGGACACATGGACCGACACACGGACAGACACTGGGACACAGGGACAGACACATGGACACAGGGACGGACACATGGACACAGGGACAGACACATGAACGGGCCCCAGGACACAGGGACAGATACACAGACACAAGGGTGGACATACGGACAGATCCTGGGACACAGGGACTGACACATGGAGGGGCCTTGGGACACTGGGACAGACACACGGACACAGGATGGACACGTGGACAGATCCCGGGACAAAGGGACGCACAAGGACAGACTCCAGGACAGTGGGACAGACACGTGGAAACAAGGACAGACACACAGACCTTGGGACACGGGGACAGACACACGGAGACAAGGACAGACCCCAGGGCACAGGGACAGACACACAGACAGGCCCTGGGACAGCCAGAGAGACAGAGGGACAGACACCGGGACAGACACATGGACAAAGGGACAGCGAGACACGGACACACGGACAGGCACATGGACACCCGGCCACGGGCACCGGGACACGGTGACACACGGGGACAGACACACGAGCAGCGGGACAGTCAGACGCAGGTAGACAGACACGAGGACAGACGGACGCAAGGACAGACACCGAGAGACGGGCACACGCTCGGACACGCTCACGCATGTGCCGACTGACATGCGTGTGCGCAGCCCCGTCACGCGCAGCTGGGTGCGTGTGCACACCCGCAGGCACGCGTGGGGGCACCCCCCATCTGTACCCCCCACACGTATGCACACACACGTGTACACACACACGTGCACACACACACGTACCCCCACATGTGCACACACACACACATACACACGTACACACATGTGTACCCACACACGTACACACACGTGCACACACACGTGTACCCCCACATGTGTACGTACACACATGCACACACATGTACACACACGTACACACACGTGCACACACGTGTACCCCTACACACGTGCACACACACATGCACACACACGTGCACCCTCACACACGTGCACACACCCTTGTACCCTCACACACGTGCACACACACACATGTACCCCCCCACATGCACACACACACGCACGTGTACCCCCACACACGCCCGTGTACCCTCACACACGTGCGCACACACACACGTGCACACACATGTCAGCGCCACCTCCCGGGGGGGTGACAAGGACAGGGACAGGCGCCCGCTGGGACAAAGTCCGGCAGCGCCTGTTGCGACACGGGGTGGCTTTGTCACCGACCCCTCGGCTGGGGACATGGGGACACCGTTTGGGGACTGCCCCCCCCCCCCCAGCCCTGCGCCCCCTTGTCCGTCTGTCTGTCCTAACGAGGCCATTAATTGCGGGATGGAGGGGGGGGGGTTGTCCCCAGCTGGCTGTGTCCCGCGGGGGGGGGGTGACAGTGGGGTGACAGTGGTTTGGCCCCCCCATGGCCCAGGAGGGGACGCGGTGCCGGTGGCCAGGACGGACGGACAGACAGAGGGACGGGGTGACCACCGGGGCCCGGGCATCCCCCCCGCGGGCAGAGAGCTGGGGGGGGGGGGGGGCACTCTGAAAAAAAAGTAAAAAATATTTAAGGGCTGAGTGGGGGTGAGCAGCACCCGTGGGGGGGGCACAGGGTGGGGGGGCTGCAGGGTGGGAGGTGAGCAGCACCCCTGGGGGGGTGTGGGAACAGGTTGGGGGGGTCTGCAGGGTGCCCCCACCCCCGGGGAGGGGGGGGGGGGAGCTGCCCCGGGATCTCCTGTACAGGGCTGCACACCCGAGGCGTGATGCACATGCACAACCCCCCCACCCCCCCCAAATAAAGCCCCCCCCCAAGGGCTCGGGGCAGGGAGGGGAGAGCCCTGGGGTTCTGGAGCGGCTGGGCGGGGGGGGCCGGGAGGGTGCCCCCCCCCGCAGCAGCCAGCAATGCGTGTCCTATCACTTATTCATGCAGGGGGGAGGCCGGGGCGGCTGCTGCCGGGATCTGGCAGGAGGAATTCGCTAACTAGGTCAGGCAGGATCGAGGGGGGGGGGGGGGGGGGGCGTCGGCAGGGGCTGCCTGATCCCCTGGGGTACCCCGGCCGTGTCCCACCCCCCCCCCCACTTCCTCAGGCACAGAGCGAGTGCTGGGGAGGGGGGGGGTCCCCGTGGTGGTGGGGGCGAGGCTGCGTGGGGAGAGCAGGGTGCTGGGGGGCAAGTGCAAGGGTGCTGCTGTGCTGGTGGAATGGAGGCCAAAAGCTTGGCGGGGGGGGGGGGGGGGCGGGAAGGCAGCGGGACCACCCAGCTCCCCCCCCCCCCCCCCCCCCCCTTCTTCCTCCCCCCCCCTCCCCAAAATCCCAGCGGCTCCCCAGGGCCGTGTCCCGGCGTCCTGCTCCGCCGGGATGCAGCCGCCGTTAATTATTGATGCAAAAAGCACTCGCGGAAGAGCCGCTTCGTGTTGCTGGGTGTCGTCGTGTGTCCCCCCCCCCCCCCCCCCGGCTCTTTCTCCCCCCCAACACTTGGCGGCCCCCCCACTCCTCCGCCTGAGCTCGGTGACCCCCACCCCCCTGCCCCCGGGGTTTAATCCTGCCCGGTCCTGGGGCTCTCAACACAGGGATGCTCCACGCGGCTGCCAACCAACCCCCTCCTCCGCTCCGAGGGGCAGAGCTTTGCCTTTGGGGTCCCCGCTCCCTCAGATGGGGGGGGGGCCCCCCTCCTCCCCATAGCCCCCCCCCCCCGGCTGGTGAGCGGTTGGGGGGTGGGGTCCCCATCCCCACAACCCCTCTGCCCCCCCCCCCAGTGTTCTGCCATTTTGCTCCTCGATGGGTTTTTTATGGAAAACCCTTCCCGATTTCGATCCAACTCCCAGAGGTGGGGAAAAAAAAAGGGGCTGGGGGGGGACCGGGAGGGGGGGGGGGTAAAAGCATTTTCAGAGCTGTGCAAGTGCCCAACAAAGGTGTTTTTTTTGGGGGGGGGGGGGCGGGATGGAGGATGGACCACGGGCCGGCTCCAGCTCGGGGTGCGGATGCCGACACGGTGGTGGTGGGCTTGAGGATGGTGCTGCATGGAGGGGGGGGGGGGGGGGGGCGATGATTTGCTTTAGGATACTGGTGAAACTGGGAGCCCCCTCCCACCCCCCCCACCCCCCCACCCGCCCCCTTCCCTGGCTGCCGTCAGCACCAGAAATATCAATAACCAGCCCCTGGGGGCAACCTGGGTCCCTTGGCCGTTCAACAAAATGTCCCCTGGCCTTTGGGATCCGTGCCCCCCCCCCCCCCCCCACGGGCCCCCCCATCTGATACAACCGGGGAGCAGCACGAGGCCGTTTTCCCGCTCCCACCCCAGAGAGGAGCCGGACGAGGGACGACGCCAAGCCGGGAACGTGCCCCATCGCAGGGGATGTGCTGGGTGAAGGGACACCCAAAGGAGCCGGCCCCCCCCCCCCCCCGCCCCCCCCCCGCCGGGAGCCCCCAGCCAGTCTGAAGGGGCGCTTAATTCAGGGATTTTATCCACAAACACTCCGCGGGCTAAAAATATCCCTCCGGCGGGCGGCAGCATTCCGGGCCCAGGAGCTTCCTTGCCTTTTTTGACGGGATCGTGGCTCGCAACGGGGCAGCGCCCGGGCTCCTGGCTCCCGAGGGACAGATGAGGGACCAGGGGTGGCACCTCGGTGGCCGTGATGTCCCCGCTGGAGGTAGGTGCTGTCCCCGTTTCGGGGATGTCCTCGGTGGGGCCGTTCTTGTCACCGGGAGATGCCGGAGGGTGGGATTTTCCACGGGGAAAACCGCCTCCCTCACCCCCCTCGCTGCCCTTTGAGCCCGGGGTGGCTTCACCCGTCACCCCAAGAGCCACCCCAGCCTGGTTTGTGTGTGTCCCCCCCCACACACTCCAGGCAGAGCCGCTTTGGGTCCCCTTATCGGGGCTGCGCGGGGCTTGCCTGGCTAGTGGGTGATAAGCCCCACGTGCCACACGCTCGTCCAACGCTCCTTTATCGGCCCGGCGGCATCAGCAGCTTGGCACGACGTGCCGGACCCCCGGGGTGCTCACCCGGGAGGGAGCTGGGTGCTGTGGGGCGCAAAGCAAAACGCCCTCCTCATCCTCACATCCCTTGCGCAAAGCCCACGGGCACGTTGAGCTTTTTGGGGACCCGGGGGCCGGCCACCAAGGAGAACGCAGGGCCTCGGGACCCCTCTTTGGGGTGTCACGGCCACCCTTGGAGCAGGCTGGGTGCAGGGGACCCCTCCAGAAGGTGGGTGCCCTCCCGCCCATGGCGAGGGCAACCTGGGTGGCTCAATTGGTGCCCAGGCTATTATTAGCCACCCTCGCCCACGTCGACAGCTCATTAAGTTTTTCCCGTTGTGGTAGCGGATGTGGGTCAACGTTTGAGGTTTCGCTGTTGATTTTTTTAATTTCCTCTTCAAAACAGATGAGTTTCCTCCCTCCTCACTGACGACAGATGCCGCCGGGGGCCGGGCGCGGCGGTGGGGCGGCGGGATGCCACGGCTGATGGCCCCTCGCCGGAGATAGGTTGCCCGGCTGCCCCCACGCCGGTGAGTGCCGGAGCCACACGGAGGGATTTGGGGGGCGGCTTTGGCCCAGGAGGGGTTGCAGGGGAAGGGGGAGGCGGGGGGGGGGGGGGCGGGCCTGGGGGCTGTGGGGATGGAGGGCGGAAGAGACGGAGGTAGATGGACCTGAGTTTGGGGAGGGGGAAGAGACAGGACCATGGGGGTGATGGGGACTTGGGGCACCCGGGAGAGATGATTCCCGTACCTGGAGCGAGCGGGAAAGTCTTTTGTGGCAGCAAAGGGACGGGGAGCGGAGTGGGAGAGCGGAGGGAATGAGGGGGACAGGGCTGGGGGTGGCAGGGGGCGGGGTTGGGGGTGGCAGGGGACAGGGCTGGGGGGTGGCAGGGGACGGGGCTGGGATGTCCCGGGATGTGGCAGGACAAACGAGCCCTGGCTTGGTCCCCCCACCCACGGCCCCTTGTGCCGCAGCCCCTCGCTGGGCTCTGCAGAACCCCTTTGCCCCCCTGGGCTGACCCCCCCCACCCCTGGGCGGGGAGGAGGGGGGGGGGCCGGGAGCCGTTAACACTCACACGAGGTGGTCGCAGCACCTCCTGGGTCTGCGGCTCCCGAGGGGCCGTGATGGGGACAGCACCCGGCCACGTGCCCTCGGAGGTGGCCTTGAGGAAGAGCTCGGCTACGAAGCTGCTGCTCCCTGACCCCCCCCCTCCCCAAGCCCCCCCAGGCCCATTCCTGGAGGTGATGTCCCAGCCCTGAGCATCACGGGGGACCAGGGTGGCCCAGACGGGTGCTATTGGGTGCTGCCCCGGGGGCTTCACCCTGTCTCTCACCCTGCCCGGCAAGAGGTGAAATGAGGAAATGGTGACAAGGTGCCCGTCCGCCGCCGGGGACTTTTGGCACGGCCGTGGCACGGTGCCGTGGGGTGGGGGATGAGCCACGCCGGTGGGGTGACACCGTGGTGGCCCCTGCAAAGCGTTTCCCGTTCCCACCGGTGCGGTGGGGGGACGGCTGGACTGGGATGCTCCCGTGCTCAGCCGTGGGGACGCGTGGCCAGAGCAGGCGGACGGCTGGAGAACCCTCGTCCCCTGTGGCCGTGGGGGGTCTGCCCGGGGTGTGTGTGTGTGGGGGGGGGCTCCCTGTCCCCAGCCAGGATCTGTGCTGGGGAGGGCAGGGGCTGAGGGACCCCCCCCTTCAGTGGGTGCCACGGAGGAGCTGGAATCCTTCAGATCCTTCGGGAAGAGGGGACTCCCTGGGGACATGGTCTCCTGCTTCGCTCCGGGGCTGTTGGATGGGGAGGGGATGGGAAATCACCTCCCTGCAGGAGCTGGGGTGGGGGGAGAGACGCCCCTTCCCCAGCGGGGAAAGGTCCAGGCTCTGGAGCTCGGCCTCGGCTGCCGCCCCGGAGCGTGCCCAGCCGTGGTGCAGCTCCACGTGCCTTATCTCTGCCACAGCAGCTCTTCCGTTTGCTGTTCGCTTCGGCAGCTCCATCCCCATGTGTGTCCCCTCTCCCCCCAGCTCCTCGGCGCCCGGGACGGGGGGAGCACAGCACCCCTGGGACACCCAGAGCTCACCCATCCACGAAGCACCCTGATAGTCCCACCCCATGGGTAGGAGGTAGAGGAAAACCTCCCCTCTCCTCCCCTCATCCTCACAGCTCTCTTGTCCCTACAGAGAGACCCCCGGCCCCCCCCCTACACCCCCCACCCCCCGGCCCTGGCGCTGTGGCCATGGAGGGCACGTCGGTGCTCAGCCCTTCCTCGTGGCAGAAGAGACGTGCGTGGGCCCGGCAGAGCCGGTGCTGGAGGACCACCGTGGTGGAGGAGGAGGCGGCCGCTGCCATGCAGGACGTCCCCGAGCTGCAGCCACCCCACCTAGACGACGTCTTCCTCGAAGGTTGAGGCTGGGGGGGTGGGGGGGGGGGGGGAAGGACACACACAACACCCCGGGGTGCACACAGGATGGGGGGTCCTCGCGTGCTGGGTGATCTCACCACGGGTGTTTCTGTCCATCCCCCCCCCCCATCTCCCAGGAAGCCCCTCCAGCAAGATAGAGACGTGGCTGCAGGAATGTGGGTGAGCCGGGGAGGGGGGGGGAAGAAGCCACTACACCCGTTCCCACGGGGATTTCGGTGTCACCGTGGGGGGCAATGGGATGATGCTGGCGCTTGGCCCGTCCTGGAAGCGGGTGCGCGGGTGCTGGTGGGATGGTGGTGTGTGTGTGTGTGTGTGTGTGTGTGATCCCCCCCCCCCCTCCCAGTTCCCTGCTTGCCCCCACGCAGGAAGCGCATGTGGCACCCGGCCGTGGCTCTGCCACACGCCAGGGCCACCTGCGTGGGATGACGGTCCCACACCCGGCGCCCCGTGGGTGCCTCTGGGAAACCCTTGGCTGGGTGGGGAGAACAGGGTGCTGGGGGTTCTCCAGGGCCTCCCGGGGGTCTGGGGTCCCTGGGATTGGGGATCTGCCGAGGGGACCCCCCCCCTCCCCACACCCCACCATGACGCACCCGCCTGCCAGTCGGGTCCCCTTGCTCTCAGCCTGCACCCCATTATCCCTGTCCCTGTCCCCCACCGCCCGTCCTGCTGCGCTCAGGTCTCCCGTCCCACCTCCAGCCCCCCCCGGGACGGGGACAGGGGGATGTCACCGGGGTTTTGCTCTGGCTCAGGTCATCCGTGGAGGTCCCGCCGGAGGAGCTGGGCTTGCCAGGCCCCTATGGTACGTCAGCTTTTCCCCCAGTGGGTCTCCTGGGGGTCCCTACTTGTCCCCAAAACCTCCCCCCCCCCCAACCCCACGGGGTGCACGCGAGGTGCCTGGGGACAGGTCTGGGTGTCCCCACGCCTCGCAAAGCCTTGCTCTCTCGCAGCGTGTGGGAGCAACGGGACCAGCTTCGAGGATGACCTGACCCTGGGAGCTGAAGGTACCAGCCACCCCCCCCGGGGCGCCCTGGGGTGTCCCCTCCTGCGGTGTCGCTGTCACCCCACGAGCAGAGCTGCCCCGGTGGAGGCAGGGGAGCTGTGGACAGGCAGGATCAGACCCGGGGAGGAGGGGGGGGACAGAGCCACCATCGTCAGCTTTTCCTCCAAGGAGGGTTTCAGTGGGGCTGGGTTGTCCCCAAGCTCTGCGTGTCCCCCCCCCCTCCAGGCTCCGGGCTGTGACTGCTCGGGACAACTCCCAGGGTGGTGAGTGTGACACCCGTCCCCAAAACACCTCACCTCACTCCTTGTCACCTTTCCGCTCCCTTTTCCCAGCTCTTCTGCTACCGGGGAGCAACAAGGTCACGGGCAGGTGAGGTTTGGGGTCCCGGGGCGGGGGGGGGGATGTGGGGGCACCGTCCCCGTGCATCCTGCTGGCAGCATCCCCTTTGCTCAGCTCTGTCCCCTCCCTGCCAGGGTCCTGCGGGAGAAGCACCTCAGCCTGGGGCACAGCATGGCATCCAGCGCCCTCTCCAGCCTCACCACCAAGACCAGTTCCAGGTAGGAGCTGGGGGGGGTGGGGTGCGTGGAGGGGAAGGGTGTGGGGTCACCCCCTCGTGAGACTGGTCCCCGTGGGGCTGAGACAGGGCTGCCCCCCACCCTGCAGCATCTCCGAGGTCCTGGAGTGGTGGCAGGCGGACGCCGAGGAGATCCTCTACAACCTGGGCTTCGTGCAGAGCGAGCCGGGGGCCGTGGCCCGCGTCCCTGCGCGCTTCTTCTCGGCTCCTTCCCGGGCCAGGGGCATCGACTTCCAGCTCTTCCTCAAGGCCCAAGTGCGGCGCATGGAGATGGAGGACCCCTGCCTGATGCTGGCCAGTGGGTGACACGCGGGTCCCCAACCCCAACCCCGCCCTGGGGAGACACCGACACGTGGGGTGGGATCCCCCACGCCGGCGGGGCTTTGCTCCTTTGGGGTGGTGGGAAAGATGCTCCCGTGCCTCAGTTTCCCCCGCTTGTGAGCTGGGGAGGAACACTTCGAGCCCACCCTGCCCCTGGCCCTACCTCCTAGCCCCACCGAGCATCCCGTACCCCACAGCCCCCCCTTGATCCACCCCCCCCCCATCTCCTCAGGTCGCTTCCAGCAGGTCCAGGCTCTGGCCGCCACGGCTGACGCTTTCTTCTGCCTCTACTCCTACGTCTCGCGGACCCCCGTGCAGCGCATCTCCCCCTCCCGTCTCTCCTGGGCTTGTCCCGAGGTCCCCGACATCCGCCTTACCCCCACCCAACCCAGCACCCTCTCGCCTGTGGAGCGCCTGAAGAAAGCCGTGTCCACCATGTGCCTCTACACGTCCCCACGGGACGAGGACAACCCACGGGGGACCGGCCGGGTGCCCACCGTCCCCCCCAGCCAGCCCAGCGCCCTGGGGAAGGTGGTGCAGGAGGTGTTGGAGCGGGCGAGGGAGGAGAAGTTTCGGTTCGACCCCACCGATGTCCTCGAGGGCTGGGGAAGGGACGGGGACACGGCGCAGCATCGGCGGGGAGCGGAGGGGGGTCCCCCAGCGCCCCGTGTCCCCGGGTGTCCCCATCACGGTGGTGCGGCCCCCCCGGCGAGCTGCGGAGGGGAGGGGGAGCCGTCCCCCAGCCCAGCCCCAGCGGGGATGTCGGTGGGTGCTGCACGGGGACACCTGGAGCGGTCCCGTCCCCATGGCCGGGGGAGCGGGGACAGCCCTCGGGGGGTGGCTCGGGGGACTGGCGATGCTCCGTGTCCCCTCGGAGCAGGACGGGTCAGCACGGAGGAGCGCCAGCCAGACGCTGCTGCGAACGTCACCTTGTCCCCAATATCAGCTCCCCCGGCCCCCCACGCCAGCTGGGTGTGGGTCACCCCTGAGCACCCAGAGGGGCTGGGGTCCGAGGGGGACTCCGGCTTCGGCTCCGGCTCCTTGGGGACCTCCCCCAGGAGGAAGGCAAGGTCCCATGGGTGCCTGGGTGACCCCGGGGACCCCAGTGGGGCACGTTCCCCCGGCTCAGACACACCGAGATCCGGAGGCCCCCGGGATCGGCGGAGCAAGGGCCGGCGCCGGGGGGGCCCCTTGGATGCACCAGGGTTGCAGCCCCCCAGGATGGGCCCCTCGCCCCACCGTCCCAGCTGGCAGGACCCAGTGGACTCCTTCGAGATGGAGGAGGTGAGGGGCGATACCCAGGTGATGGGCACGGAGGGGTGGGGGGGTGGGGGGGGGCAGGAGGGGGCTGGGAGCGGGGCAGCAGCTCAGGGGGTCCCTTCGGCTGGTGGGGGCTGGCGGGGGCTGGCGGGGCGGGGCGGGGAGGAGCTGGAGTAGGAAATGTCCCCGGAGGGTGCTCAGGGCTTTTAAGGTTTGAATGATTTAGAGCTTCAAATGGAGCCTCTGGCAGGGGCGGGGGGGGGGGGCCCACACGGGCTCGCACGCATGCACAAGCATCCTTGCACACACACCCCCCCCCAACCTCTCCCCCCACCCCGGAGGGGTGCGTGGGTGTTCACAGCTGCCCCTTTGCACACACACACTCACCCGGAGCCGCTCCTCAGCCAGCCCTGCCTCATCCTGCCCGCAGGTGCTGAGCGCCAGCGAGGAGGAGGAGGAGGAGGAGGAGGAGGAGGATGGTGATGCCCGCAGGGAAGCCGTCCGGTCCCTCCACTCCTCTGTCGGGGTGCGAAGAAGTAAGTCGTGGGGGTTTCCCCACCCTCCCGGGTGGGTACGGGAGGTGGTGGGGCTGCCAGCCCAGTGGGGGCCGGGTGCCAGCGCTTGTCCCCAACTTGTCCCCAACTTCTTGTCCCCCCTGCTCCAGGCTTCATGCTGCACACCAGCAGCGGGCGGTCGGACAGCAGCGGCTTCGTGGAGGAACCGGTGCCAGACCACCCGCCCACGGCCCGGTTCCACGGCACCGACCAGGTGGCCTGAGGCCACCGCAGAGGGACCTGGGCTTGCTCCGGTACCGGTACCGGCAGGTAGCCACGGCTGGGGGCCGGATGGCCCAGACCGGATCGTCGTGTTTCGGACACGGAGACCAACCTCAGCCGAGGGCTGAGCACTGTGTGTACACCTGGGTGTGGGTGTGAGTGCACGCGTGGGTGTGGGTGCACGTGTGGGTGCATGAGTGGGTGTGTTTGGCACAGAAAAACTTGTGACTCAGGACTTTTGGGGCACAGGCATCCCCCCACTGTCCAAGCTGCCGGCGCTGGGGCTGCGGCTGCACCGTGGCAGCACCGGGGACGTCTGTCCCGGCCTGGGGCAGCACTGGGGACCTCTCCTCTGTCCCTGGGACAGCACTGGGGACCTCTCCCCCGTCCCCAGGACAGCACTGGGGACCTCTCCTCTGTCCCTGGGACAGCACTGGGGACCTCTCCCCCGTCCCCAGGACAGCACTGGGGACCTCTCCCCCGTCCCCAGGGACAGCACTGGGGACCTCTCCCCCGTCCCTGGGACAGCACTGGGGACCTCTCCCCCATCCCTGGGAAAGCACTGGGGACCTCTCCCCCGTCCCTGGGACAGCACTGGGGACATCTTCCCCGTCCTTGGGACAGCACTGGGGACCTCTCCTCCGTCCCCGGGACAGCACTGGGGGCCTCTCCCCCGTCCCCAGGACAGCACTGGGGACCTCTCCCCTGTCCCCGGGACAGCATTGGGGACCTCTCCCCTGTCCCTGGGAAAGCACTGGGGACCTCTCCCCTGTCCCCAGGACAGCACTGGGGACCTCTCCCCTGTCCCCGGGACAGCACTGGGGACCTCTCCCCCGTCCCCAGGACAGCACTGGGGACCTGTCCCCCGTGCCTGGCTCTTGGGGACATCACTTGCACTTTGGCCACCGTCGGGCCCCCGTGCTGCAGCGCCTGTAACACTAGGACGGGGGTTTGCTGGGCAGAGCCGGCAGCACGCTGGAAATAAAGTTCCCAAAGGGACGATGGTGGCTGTGCCCCTGCTTGGAGTTGCTGGGGGGGGGGTGGGGGTGGGATCCAGCCCTGCTCACCCCGCTCTGGGGTGGAGACCCCCAGCATGAGCCCTCCCGGTGTCCCAGAGGGACCTGAGCTGGGGGGGTTGAGGGACAGAGGAGCTGCCAGCAAGGCTGGGGGGTTCCTGCCCTCCAGACCCCAAGTACCAACCCCCCACCCCTGCTGAAGGGGAGGGCTGGGGTCCCGTGGTGCCCCCCTGGACAAGCATGCCCCCCTCGGGTGCAAACCCAGGGGTAGGGCTGGAACAACGGGTGCTGCTCAGGACTTTTTTGGCCTCTCCGGCTTCTCTCACCCCTGCTGAGCCTCCTTCTGTTTCCTTATCGGGGCACTTCATGGCTCCAGGCCTGTTCTTCATCTTCCTGCCACCTTTTCTTTCTGGCTCGCTGTTCTCCTCCTCCTCCTCCTCCTCCTCCTCCTCCTCCTCCTCCTGAGATCTGGGCATCTAAAGGAAACCGCACACTGAGATGATGCTGCATCTGCTCCTTAACCCCTCCTGCGCTGCTGCCGCTGCTGCTGCCGCGTGCCCGGGAAGGACATGAACAGCTTTTTTGGTGGCTTTTGCCCCTGGGTGATGTGGGCGTCGAGCGTGGGCACGGTCCCGAATTGGGCAGGGTGGTGGGTGCTGGGCTGGGCACCCCGGCAGCCTCCCGCAGGGCTCACCCCAAAGTGGTCCCGAGCCACAGATTCAAGGTCCAGCTCTGCTCCCGCCCCTCCAGATCTACCCAGGGGACAGGGACAGGTCACAAGTCACCCCAGGCCAGATCCCCATCACCTCAGGAAGGTGCCACCACGGTCGCCCTCCTCCCTGGGCTCTCACGGTCCCCACCCCGGTTGCCCACCGTGGTGGTGGTCCACCACGCTGTGGTTTTGGGTTCAGGGACGGCACCAGCTCCAGGGCATCGGCGCTGGAGTTACTGGAAAAATCCTGATGGATAAACAAACCCCAGGGTTTCCCTGTGGAGAGCAGCCAAAAATGGGATTATCCTGGATTAGCCCCACGGCCCCTCCGGCACCCAGCCGGGCTCCCACAGCCCGTCCTGGCTGCTCTGTGGGTCCCATGGAGGCGGGGGGGACACACACAGTCCCAACCTGCTCCAGGCTGGTTCAGGCTGCCCAGGGCTGAGCTTTATCCACCTCCCCGGTCTCTGCAGCGGCGTCTGTGTGGGACCCCCCCACACCTGGATGCTCCTGCAAGCTGAGGCAGTGACCCCCAGGCACCTTCCTGGTCCCCTGGCTCTGCCTGTCCGAAAAATAAACCCTCCACTGTCCCGGGATTTGCTGGGCAGGTCCTGGATGGGGCTGGCCGAAGCCTCCTGAGAAAGCTTTGATGGAGAACGGTCGGAGCTCAGGACCAGGTTACCCATCGCTGGGGGTGCCCAACGCCAGCCCCATCCCAATGGTGCCTGCAGGAACCAGACTGGGACCTGGCTGAAAACCAGTCCACTGAACGGAGAAACCACTGGGAATGAGTAGCTGGAGATGGGGACGGGCTGGGGACACGACAGGACATCTTCATCCAGCTTCGCTGCCGGACCCGGGGAAACGAGAGCAACAGTTTAATCACATTTCATGCAAATGTTGAAGCCCTCGGTGCTTCTGAGGCGGGAGCCGGCGGTTTTTAGGGCAGAGAAGAATTAATCCTGGGGGATGGAATACCTGGTAAATGGTGCAGCATCAAAATGAAGTTACACTGGAGAGCAGATGAGCTCCCCGGCCACCCCATGCCGGGTATTTGGGAATTATCTCCCTGAGCCAGGATCCCAGCTCCGACCTGCTCCCCCCCGGGGGGGTTTTGGCTCCGCACCCTGTATCCGGGTGCCTGAAATCCCACCCCAGGGCAGAGCTGGGTGCTCTTCTTCCTCTGCCCACTGGGAATGAACAGGGTCCCCTGAGAAGCCGGGTATGTGGCACAAATCCTCCCTCAGGCACTGGGCAGAGAAATGCATGGAAAATACCGAGGATTTATCCCCCATCTCTGAAGCCAAGAGGCAGCAAAAGCTCTGCCTGGGACCAGGGACGGTGATTTATGGGTGCAAGGAGATTAAGTGTCCTCTTCTCTGAGCTCTGGGCTCTGGCAAAGAGGCTGTGCTATTTCTGCGACCCCACCTGAGCAGGGAAAACGCGATTTTGCAGGTTTTAGACTGAAAAGAAAAGTCTTGAGGCTGTGAGAGCATTTTAATTCAAGGATGAGCAACCCACAGCCTGACGCAAAAAGAGCTGGGCGCGTTTGCTTGCCCAAGGGCTGAAGGAATGATGTGGCCGAGCCGTGGGAGCACCTTCCCACGGGGAGCATGAACTGTTTGGGGGGCAGGGGAGAGGCCAGGAGCTGCAAACGTGTCCTGCATCTGGGTACGGGTTTGCTACAGCACCCCATCTGCCCCCCCCCCCCCCCCCCCCAAGTAGCACCCCATCTGCTTCCCAGTAGCCCCCCCATCCATGACCCAGCATCTCCAGGGCCACGTCCCTGCGTACCCAGCTCCAGCCCAGGGACCTGCTGTCGGCGCCTCCGTCAATCCTCCCCCAAAGTTTCACCGAAACCTTTTTTTTTTTTTTTTGGTGCGTTTGCAGGCTGGTGGTCTGAAACCGAGCAGGCGGATCCCTCCCGGCCGTGCCGCCAGCGCTGTCAGTGCCGGCACGGCAGCGGGTCACGCTCGGCTGCTCCGGCCGCCCCGGCCGCGGTGAGATGCTGACAGGGGGGCTGTCGAGCCGCCGCGCTTCCCCCCTCGTTTATCTGGAGAGACCTGACACGGCTCCCTCCCTCCCCACCTCCCGTACGCTCTGGACGGGGTTGGTTTGCTAAGAAGTGCCGGGGAGATTATTCATGCTGTTTTATTTTATTTTATTTTATTTTATTTTATTTTATTTTATTTTATTTTATTTTATTTTATTTTATTTTATTTTATTTTATTTTATTTTATTTTATTTTATTTTATTTTTTTTTTTGCAGCTCACGGCAGCCTCAGCTCTGAGCCTTGGCTTGTCCTCATCCCATGGAGCTTCGTGGTCCCTCCCGTCCGTTCCCTTGGCCTCAAAGCACCAACCTCCTTTGGCTCAGCTAATCCCCTGAATCAGTGAAGATGTTCCCAGCTCAACCCGCAACCCCAGAAGGGGAGAGAGATGCTCTGCCCCACTCATCCCCGAAATGAGGAGGAGCTGGGGCCAGAGTGGACCGCGAGGATGCTCCCGCAGCATCTTTGTCCTGTTACCACACTGCGAGCACAGCCCTGCCCCAATTCCTGAGCAGAGTCATCCTCCCCTCGTCTTTCCTCTGTGTTTTAGGGGCTGTGTGTATCACCACGACCGCCCCAGCGCATCCCCACTCCTTGCTGGGGCCGGGACTGGCTTCACGTGTCCCTCCAGCTCACCAAACCTCTGCCGCTCCCATGGGTCCCCTCCCTGTCTGTCATCTGTCAAGTGCTGAGAAATAAAGCGCGGGAGCCAAAAACATGCTCCGTGATGAGCAAGAAAGCTCTGCGGCTGCGGGACTGCCAGTCGAGGGGTGTATAGGGGCTGGGGAGTGAGCTGGGTGGGGGGCTTGGAGAGTATGGGGTGTGGGGGAGGCTTGTGGGGTGAACAGGAGTGTACTGGGGGGCTGTGTGTGGGGTGGACTGGGGTGATTGGAGTGCGCTGGGATGATGTAGTGGGAGCCATGGAGCTACATGTGGTGTTGGGGCTTTGAGAAGTCGGGATTTGCTCGGCACACGGAGGGCCTGGAGCCCTGGGAACGGGGCTGGGGCTGCTTTGGGTGCTCTCGGGGCTGGCAGCAGGGTCGGCCGTGCTGCCCGGAGGGGCTGCAGGGCTAATCTGAGCTAATCCGGGCTAATCCGGGCTAATCCTGCCCCTGGCCAGGCGCCCGGGCACTGGCACCTTCCCACACCTGGAAAATCCCGTGCGTCTTCGAGCCGTCCCATCCCCTCCGATTGGCGCCCGCTGCCTTCATAAGGGACGGGGCCCAGCCCCCGGCTCATCCCTGGGGGGCTCCCAACCATCTCCATCGTCCGAAATTCTCCGGGGTGATGAAGTTTTGGGTCGTCCTTCTGCTGGCCGGGCTCGCCGGCAGCCTGGCTGCTGGCCGTGAGTCGGGCAAGTCCCCGCGGGGTGCTCCCCAGTGGGGTGCAGGAGCGGGGGGGTCAGGTCATCTCTTCAAGCGGTTGGGTGCAGAGTGGGGGGGTGTCTTGTGCCTGGTGGGGGGTCCTGACACCCCACCGGGGTGGGTGATGCTGTCTCTCTTCCTCCTGCAGTTCCTATGGATGAGATGCCCTCCGCAAGCTCCGGTGAGTTGGGAATCCTGCTCACCCAGGGGGGTGCTGGCCAGGCTGTAAGGCACCCCCCCAAAAGACCTTGAGCCCTCTGGGGAGCAATTCTTTGTGTTTTTTTTTTTTTTTTTTTTGGTTTTGTTTTTTTTTTTTGTGCTAAAGGTGGGGTTCTTCCTGGGGCTGAGGGTGCTCCTGCATCCCTGTCTTCCCTCCAAGGCAGGCAGGGAAGAGCAGGAGTCCGACCCACACGGCGCACGGGGTCCGAGCACCCCCAGCTCCCCGCAAACCCCACAGCAAGAGGCAGCTCCCCTCGGGGCTGGGGGGGCCTTGGCCAGGGTGGGCCAGGAGCACCCTGTTAACAGCACATCGGGGTGCTCGGGTAACCCCGTTTCTTCCCGCAGATGCTGAGGCAGCCGAGAAGGCGAGCGGGGGAGTGTTGTCCCTTCTCATCGACGTGCTGGACAAACTGCTCATGGTTCTGAGTTCCAACATCATCGGGTGAGCGGGGAAGGGGGGAGAGGTGGGGGGACGGGAGGGGTCTCAGCGGAGGTGTCCCCAGCTCCTTCCCACTCCTCTGTGCTGGATGATGGTGGGGGACGTAGTGGGGTGGGTGCTGGGGGGCCAGCAGGGTGCTCCCGTGAGGGTGGGATGGTGGGACTGGGTCAGGTCTCACCTCCGTGGTGTTTTCTCTCTTCCAGGTGATCAGCGAGCAGCCAGCACCGTAAGTCCCGTCCTTCCCCGGGGAGCCTGGGGACACGGGGTGTCCTGTCACTGGCAGGGATGGAGCTTGGGGGTGGGGGGTGGGGGGATGAGTGGGGGGATGCTCTTCTGGGGGGTTCTGGGAGCCCCCACCACCTCCCATGGCTGCCCAGGACTGTGCCCGGCTCCTTCTCTGCTCCTGCCCTGAGCACTGAGCACCCAAACCTCCCCTCCACCTCCCCAGACCACCCCGCCGCCCCACCAGACCTCCCCACTGTCTCACCAGTCCTCCCCACCACCCCACCAGACCTCCCCACTGTCTCACCAGTCCTCCCCATCACCCCACCCAGACCACCCCGCCGCCCCACCAGACCTCCCCGCCACCTCACCAGACCTCCCCACTATCCCACCAGTCCTCCCCCGACCCCCCCAAACCTCCCCACCATCCCACCACCCCTCCCCTGACCCCACACCAGGGACCTCCACACCCCCACGTGTCACGACGGCTCGTCTGGAGCCAGCGCTGGGCTGGGACGGCCGCCTCAGAGCAGGTTTGGGGGCAGTGGGGGGACCCAGGACCAGCTCCCCTTCCATGATACATTTTGGGGCTCCCTCCTAGGGCTGGCCCCGGGTGCCAGCGCGTTCCCGGGGGGGGGCAGGATGCGTCCCCCTCCTCCCTCCGAGCATCCCTGGCTCTGCACAAGCGTCGCTCAGCTCCCTGCCGCCGGCTCCGCTCCACTCCCGCCTCGTCCCGTGGCTTTTCCCGCGCCGCGTGCGTGCGTCGCTCCAGCCCGAAGCTCCCCATAAAGCAAAACCCCCCCCCATCCCAACCGCCTCCTCTCTTGTCCCGCCTCGTGTTTGCCTGTAACCGCGACCGCGAGGGACCGAGACCCGGCCCGGCAGTGCCTCCGGGTGAACCCAGACACCCCGAACTCGATTTGGGTGCCGGTGGCGGGGACGGGTGCCAGCCGAGCCCTGTGCCACCCGTGCTGGTCCCAGGACACCCACCAGCCCTACAGCCACAATCCTCAGCCCTTATGGGGTACAGAGACCACCCCCACGGCTTCCCACCGCAGGGTCCCGGCGGGATCCAGCTGTGCCTTTGAGCCTGTGCTGCAAAGACAGCCCCCCGAGACCCCAACCCATCCCCAAACTCTCATTCCCCTTCCAGGGTTTGGGTGCCAGGCGCTCTGTCCCTCGTTAGCGGGGTTCTTTAGCTCCCGGGGCGCTTCCCACCCCCTTCCCGATGGGCACCCGCCGCTCGAGCTGGTCCCCGGGGGCCTCTCTCGGGGGCCTCAGCTCCGTGTCCCCACCTCCAGCGCAAGGACAACGATGCTCTGGGGTGTGAGTAGGGCTGGGACACGAGGTGACATTGGGTGGTGGGGACAGGCGGCCCACCCCTGTCACATCCAGCATCTTCTGTCCCCTTCGGGGCTAACGGCTTCCCCCCCCTTTCCATCCACTCATCACGCCGGGGGTGACCACCACCCCTTGGGGCGGGTATGGGGGGTGTCCTCCCACCCGGGGTGTCCTTGTCCCCAGCTATGGGCCACCTTGGCCATGGCCCCGGGTCCAAAATGTGGCTGTGCCTGCCCCCCCCCGCCCGCCTCCACGCATGGAGGTCCTGTGGGGGCCGGGGTGTTGGATTTGCAGCTCTGACACCCCCTGCTCTGCCAAAAATCTGCCTTTGGTGGGGATGGGGAGGGGAGGGGGGGGGGGGCTCGTTGCCATGGCAATGAGGATGATGCCGGCAGCTCCGTGGGAGGCGGGTGATCATCCCAGGGACGGGGGAGGGAAAAGCTCCCGTGTCTTTTCAGAGCCGTGGGATGTTCCGGAGAGACACGGCTCCGTCCGGGCTAAGCCTGGAGCAGTCCTGAGAAGGGCTGAGCTCCGTGGGGTGTGCAGCTTGTCGTTGTACCCCCCCAAAATCCCCGTGCAAACCAGGGCGCGCTGCTGAACCAGTGCTTACTGGTTTCCAGCTCGGGAGACCAGTGAGAAGAATCTCATGGCTTCACTTCTGCTTGGAGGACGGACAAAACCTGGTCACCCACGACCGCCCCATCTCATCTCTTCACCGGTGGTGGGATGCCCTAAATTAGTGATTTTTCCCCCCGGTAAATTCCTTCTAGGAATAAACCCAGCACCTCCTGGAGCAGGCAAATGCCTCATCCCGGTGCAAAGAGCTGCCTCCTCCTCCTCCTCCTCCTCCCCTTGGCTGGCAGCTCTTCCTCCAGCTGGGTGCAGGGGTGCGTGCTGCTGCACACATCTCACCACCGCCTCCCTCCTGGCATTTCTGAGCAGCTTTTTGAGTAAATAAAGCTGGTTTTTATTTTTTTTTTTTTTTAATTTTTTAAAATTTTTTTTTTTTTTTTTGCACGGTTTCGCAGGGAAAAGGTGCATTGTGCAAGCGCATAGGAGCTCTCAGATGGCAAAGTCCACCTCCAAGCTGGCCAAGGGAAGCAGAGGGGGTGGATAAATGTATGCAGTGACAACTCCAGCGGCCACCTCCGGCTTCCCACTGCAGGTGAGAGAAATCTCATCTTAAAAAACAGCTTTTTTTCTTTTTTCTTTTTTTTCTTTTTTTTTTTTTTTTTTTTTTTTTAACCCAGGAAAAAAGCTCCTGGCGAGGACACCGAGAGCTGGGCTGCGGCGGCGCTGCCGCTCTCCGCAGAGTGGGACGTCCCCGGGGAAATGGCACAAGTTCTTCCTGACAGCTCCTCGCCCCGTAATTGTTCCCCGAGGTGGGTTAGTGCGTTATTAGCGATGGATTTGCTGGGGATGGAGTGAAGCTTAAATTAGACTCCGGCTGACAGAGCCCTCCTGGGTTTGTGCCGGGCGGTGTAATCCGGCGTGAAAGGCTCGCTCGGGCTCGCCGATCGCACCAAGCGAGGTGTGGCATTGTCCCTAAACCTTGAAAACTGACCTCAAAAAGGGATTTGTGTTGGGCTGAGCGGAAAACCCCTGAGCTAGGCTGCTCGGGGCAGCTGGATGGTGCTGCCTGGGAGCTGGTGACCCCAGACTTTGGGGTCCCAGTAACTGCAACGGGGGGAACTGGGGGGCACTGGAGCCAGGGGACAACCTCCATCTGACAGCTCTGAGGCTTCAGAGATTTTTTTTTTTTTTCCAGCTCCGTAGCATCCCTAGGCGGGAGCTGGGTATGGACGTGGTGCCAGGGCGCATCTCGCAGAGGATCTTTGGCTCTCCTTCCTTTCGAGGAGAGGGCAGGTGGCATCGGGGACACCGCAGTGTCCCAGGACGTCACCTCCTGCTCCGGCCCCCCACCCCGCCCCCCAGGAGCACCCACGACCTCCACGTGCAAGTTTGAAGACGGAGCTCGGAGCCGTGCTGAGCCTGGAGCCGGCCCAGCTGGCTGGGAGACGTCACCGCAATTATTTCAGTTAACTCAATTTACTGTTATTCCTGTCAGCCGGACCTAACGACCTGACGCAGAGCAGCAGCCCTTTGAGGACCCACTCGTAATTAATTTTAGCTCATAAAGCAATTAATAGATTTAGTTATAAATTCTCAGAAAATCCGCGTTCCGAAGAGCAACCCTTTGTCCCCTTGGGGGGATGCTCTGACCATGGTGATCATCCCCCTCCGCTGCTCCTCCAGCTCCTCGACTGGATCCCAGTGCCCCGGGGAGGTGTTGGGGCTCCTTTTCCCTAGGGATGCTCTCCCTGAGCTGCCCCCTCACCGTGTAACCCCCCTGGGGATGCCGGAATCTCCGCTCCTGGGTCGGGGCCAGGCTGGCCCAGGTGCCGTGGCAGCTCCTCGCTGCCGCCGGTCCCGGGGGCCTGGGGGCCAGAGATGCTCCGGGGGGGGGGACGGGGACACGGTGGCCCCGGCTGCGGAGCCGGAGGAGCCGGGGAGGCAGCTGGGCGAGGAGGTTGCCAAACGGGCAGAGACGGCGGCTCCGGGCAAAGCCGTGCCCGCAGCTCAACATCTGGGGCCCGTGGCTGCCGTCCAGGCAGCAGTGTTGCTGCCTGTGCCAAGACATCTTCCTCCTCCGCCTCCTCCTCCTCCTCCTCCTCCTCCTCCTCCTCCTCCTCCTCCTTTCCCTCCTGCAGAGCCTGGCTGGGGGCAGGGGGATGGGTGACTCCAGCCTCTGGGGATTTGGGGGGCAGGCTCCAGGCAGAGCCCCACAGGCTCTTTACCGGGATGGATACGGCCCTAAGAAGCCAGCACACCCCCCCCCCCCCCCCGCCGATGCCCTCACCCTTTTGGGGTCATTTTGTCCCCATCCTGAGGGTTCAGGGGGTGGGGTGGGGGGGGATGGGGCTGCTGTGGGGCTGCACTCAGGGAAGGGGGGGCTGTGCACAGGGCAATGCCCATCCCAATGTCCTGTGAGCCCAGGGCTGTGTTGCACCCCATATCCTGGAACCCCCATATCCTGGAACCCCAAACCTGCCCTGTGACTCCAGGACTGTGCTGTACCCCATGTCCTGGCTGCCCAAATCTGCCCAGCATCCCCAGGGCTGTGCTGTACCCCATGTCCTGGCTCCCCAAATCTGCCATGTGACCCCAGGACTGTGCTGTACCCCATGTCCCAGCTCCTCAGATCTGCCCAGTACCCCCAGGACTGTGCTGTACCCCATGTCCCAGCTCCCCAGATCTGCCTGGCATCCCCAGGGCAGTGCTGTACCCCATGTCCCAGCTCTCCAAATCTGCCCTGTACCCCCAGGACTGTGCTGTACCCCATGTCCCAGCTCCCCAAATCTGCCCCGTACCCCAGGGCTGTGCTGTACCCCATGTCCCAGCTCCCCAGATCTGCCCAGCATCCCCAGGACTGTGCTGTACCCCATGTACCAGCTCCCCAGATCTGCCCCGTACCCCAGGGCTGTGCTGTACCCCATGTCCCAGCTCCCCAGATCTGCCCAGTATCCCCAGGGCTGTGCTGTACCCCACGTCCCAGCTCCCCAAATCTGCCCAGTACCCCCAGGACTGTGCTGTACCCCATGCCCCAGCTCCCCAGATCTGCCCAGCATCCCCAGGGCTGTGCTGTACCCCATGTCCCAGCTCCCCAGATTTGCCCAGCATCTCCAGGACGGTGCTGTACCCCATGTCCCAGCTCCCCACATCTGCCCAGTACCCCCAGGACTGTGCTGTACCCCATGCCCCAGCTCCCCAAATCTGCCCAGCATCCCCAGGACTGTGCTGTACCCCATGTCCCAGCTCCCCAAATCTGCCCAGTACCCCCAGGACCGTGCTGCCTCTGATCCTTCATGGTGGAAGACGCACAGGTTTGCATGAGCCGACCTGCTCCAGGATTTCCACGTGTCCGAGGCTCCGGCGTCTCCCAAATTTGTGGGGCGGCCCAGATGCGGGCCCGGCGAGCACCCCGAGCGGGAAGGGGAGGGGGGGGGGGGGCACCCCCCGGGGCTGTCGGCTGCTGAGGTTTCTTACCAGCAGATGTCAGCTCCCGCCCGGGGATGCGCGGCCGGCGCTCGGCCGGCTCCGCTTCGGGCTCTGAACCGTTGCACACGCGTGTGACAGGGCTGCAACCTCCCCCGGGGGTGTGACAGTCCCCGAGGGCAGCGGGGTGACGCGGTGGCTGCGTGTGCTGCCGTGACCTGGGACAGATCGTGGCTTTTCCTCTGGGAATTGCGCAGCTCCCGCTTGTGACCCAGGACTGTCCGGGGCTGCTCTGCAGCCGTTATAGAAGAAAATATCTCGTTATCAAAATTCCAGCATGTGGGCGGGGAGGCTGGGCGCTGGACTGAGCATCCTGGGGAGTTTTGGAGCAAGCAGGGGAGCAAAGGGATCAAAAAAAAAAAAAAAGAAAAAAAAAAAAAGAAAAAAAAAGCTGGTC